CAAAGCCTTTCTCTTCTTGCCTCCTGGGATTCGTGCCAACAAAGTTGAGGACCTGTGTATTTAACTAATTGGAGTTCAATTCAATAAGTCAAGTTAGGAAACATTCACCAAGTGCCTGCTCTGTGCCTAGCAATGAACACAAAAATATGTGGTATATATTAATCAGGTATGAACCTTGTCCTCCATAAGCCAACAATCTTGCTTTCATGCTGGAATCCTGATATTTCCCACGTGTTTTTTAAAGCTTTTGTCTCTGCCAGGAGAGACAATGTCTTCCCCCTGAATCCTCCTGGAAGGGCCTGTGTGTGGCTTCCAGAATTAGGAAAAGAGTATTCCTAGTGGCAAAAAGCCACAGCTTGGTATCTAACAGGGTCCCTAGGGAAGAGCACAGTAGAATTATTTCCACCCAAAAAGCATCCTATACACTACTCCATGTGTCCAAATCTTCTCTCTCACCTTAACTAAAAAGTATCTCTTCCATGAATACACCCTAAATCCCTCCAACTAGAAGTGAACACTTCCTCCTCTGTGACCTCTCATGATTTCTGTGTCCCACATAGGCTATTATTTTCTCCCTTAAATTATACTTTTTTGTTTATATGTCTTATTTCCTACAATGGATTAGTTGGGTACCAAGTCTGATTCATCTCCAATTCTTCATAGCCCCTGCAAATTAAAATTTGGAATAGGAAAAGAATCAGTATGTCCAGGTAGTAATTTGGGGCAGGATGGAAATAAATAGAGAAGCAGAACAATCCTTGTGTAGAACATAGGGACTGGCCCAGGAATCAGGAAACTCAGGTTCACTTGTGTCTCAAGATCTTCATCTATAAAATGAGATCTGGCTGGGACAACCTTACCATGTTGCACTGAGGATCACTAAAGACAACACAACAGACTACAAAAGCCTGCTGTACAGATACAGGGAATGATAGTATTTTGATGCTTGGCAACCCTTAAGCATTAACATTTCACATATTAGCAAACCAAGGCCTAGACAGGTGAAATGGCTTGAGGTCACATCAGGAGCAAAGTGTGAAAATAGCAGAGGATGGCAACTCTAAGACCAGAAGGAGCCTATTCCTTTTCTACCTGTTTTGGGATTAGAATTGTTGTGAGGTGCACAGAGGAATCCAAGACCAACATTGGTTTTATAGCTCTTTTAATAGTTGACAGTTCTTTTTGGTGTTTGTTACAGCTCTTTTTGATGTTATAGCGCTTCATTGCTTACAAGCAAGGAGAGCAGGAGCATTAAGCTCATGTCTTCCTGAATGAGGGAAAGGGCCCACCTTATGTACCCACAAACTTCCTGCCCAAGTTCTCATTTAGGTCCTCTTATGCAAATGAGGGATGCAAGTCTTTTAGTTCAGATTGGTTGGCTATGAGACATAGCTCATTGGTCAGTTCTGGAGCCTAATTTGCATTAGGCCCTTAGGGCGTTGCAAAACAGCTGTTACCTTTTGTTAACACACAGGGGCAGCAAGCTGGGTTACAGAAGCCAAAATTCGTGATTAAGACTGCCAAGCATAAAATTTCTAAAACAGTTTCTCAAGCAGAAGGGGGCAGGCTTAACACTCAAAATGCTCAGGGTTCCCTGCTTCAGAATGTCTGAATTCTCTGACACCTGGGTTTGTCTTATTTTTGTTTTGTGAAGCATCAACCTGGCATCAGATCAGCAGAGGAATAAGAAGCAAGGAAGTTAATCTGTAGAGAAGTGAATCTCAAAAGAGGAAAAAAGAGACAGTTCATGAAAGAAGAAATAACAAGTGGCCACTAAAAATGTGGGGGGAAAGTTAAGCATCTCTAGTGATCAAGGAAATGCAAAATAATCTTCAAGATGCTATTTTCACTCACAAAGTTGGCAAATAAAATAAGAATACTCATTGTTGTCAAGTATGCCAGGAAACTGGCACTCTCATACTTTGCTGGGAGTAGTATAAAGTGATATAACTTTTGTCTAGGGCAATTTAGAAATATATGTCACAAGTCTGAAATTGGTCCCATGCCCTTTGATCCAGAATTCCCTCTTCTAGGAATTATCCTAAGGAAGGAATCACAAATATGCACAGAGATGTTCATTGCAATCTGACTTATAAAACAGAACTACAAACTTAACATCTAATTGTTAATGTAAATTATGGCATATCCATTCAGTGGAATACTACACAACAGTGATTACTGCTAACACCTACTGAGCTGTGCACTATTGCCAGACAGTGTGCCAAGTTATTTCTTTTTTTTTTTTTTTTTAAAGATGACCGGTAAGGGGATCTTAACCCTCGACTTGGTGTTGTCAGCACCACACTCAGCCAGTGAGCCAACTGGCCATCCATATATGGGATCCGAACCCGGGGCCTCGGTGTTATCAGCACCACACGGGCCAGCCCGTGCCAAGTTATTTCAATGCATTATTTATTTTAATCATTAGTATAATTCTATGAGGATGGCATCATTGTTAAACCCATTTTGCAGATGATGACACTGAGGCTCAGAGAGGTGAAGTTGTTCCATGCCACACTGCTAATAGGTTGAATAGTAGGGATTTGGCTATAGGTCTGTCTGATGCCAGAGCCCATGACCTCAACCACAGTCTTACCACCTATGCAGCTGTTAGAAATCATGTTTTAGAGGAATAGTTAATGACATTCTAAAATGACCATGATATAATGGCATGCGAAGAAAGGATACAAAATGATAGCACATGATGACAATTTTGTTTTAAGTATGAGTCGTCTTCAAAAAAAGTTCATGGAGAGATTTGTATTATTTATTTCATTTTCCATGAACTTTTTGAAATACTCTTGTATATGTATATATTTTTCGTAGAAAAACTACTATAAGGCTTCATACCTGTTAGTAATGGTTATCTCCGGGTGGTAATATTACAGATTATTTTAACTTTCATCTTTATGATGTTTTTGTATTTTTTAGTTTTTCTATAAAGAACATCCATAACTTATGTAATCAGCAAAAGTAAAAATGTTAATATAGAGATTTCAAAGCAGGCCTTTTGTAGCCTTTATGCTTATTACACATCCATAGCAATACTTCATTTTTTATCTGACTAATTCTTTTGTGGTGTTTGATCTCAGAGGTGCCATCTTTTCAACCATTCTTGGGGAATCTCTTTGGGGATGAGGAGCTATGTGGCTGTGTAATCTCCAGGGACTTTGACTACAACAAAGTGTCCTTTAGACCACAAACTCTTGTGCCTGTAATAGTCCTCACCCTTTGGACCATAGACCTCTGAGGAGGAGAGAGGGGTACTTAATTAATGCAAGGAGTCCACAGATCTTTAAATGTATAAATGTTTTTCTCACTCTGTAAGTTCTAAAAGGACAGCTACTATTGTGGGTGTGAGTGGGTGAAGTGAGATTTTTTTTTTTTAATCTTAAGAAGGGGCCCTTCTACATAAAATGTTGAGAACCACTGGAATAGAGCTTTTAAATAGTGGTTATTTAATCAAAAGCATCATGAACCAAAGGTGCTCAGTTCCTGCCCTTTGGATCAGGGTTTGCCTGTCTTTGCCCAGCTCTAGAAGAGATCACCTTTATCACTTGCAAGCATCGTCTTTGCCATCCGTTCTCATCACATTTGTGTACATTCACTAAACCACCAACTGGTTAGTACTTGTACATCTAAAATTTTTGCTCATATCTCTCCTGTTCTAACCTTAACTACTGACATCTAAAGCCAAATATGTCTCTAGCACAGCTTATCATGTAACTCTGCCCTCACCCCCTACCGCACCAAATTCACTCCTCCTGTATTTCCTCTCTAGCCATTGGCAACATTATCCTCCCAGCTCCCAAATAAGAAACCTTTGACTCCTTCACCTCCCTCACCCTTCACATTTAATTGATCACGGAGCCCAATATGTTTTACCTCCCCAGTGTATTTCAAAGCCATGCTATCTGCTCCATCCTCACTGTGACTGCCTGCTTATTATAACAGCTTCTCAATGGGTTCTTCCCCTGGGGGAATTACTCCACAAGGCAGGCAGAGAGCCCTTCCTAAAATGCAAATCTGGTCAAATGCAAATCTCCCTTGCTTAAAATCTTCAGGGCCTCCCCATTATCTACAAGATAAAGCCTAGAATCCTCTGCCTGTCATTCAAGGCATGGCCCAATCTGGCCACAGCCTCATTTTCCAGCCTCATCTCCTGCTACTGCCCACAAGGCACCTACCTTGTACTCTGGTCACACCGAACGCAGCATACATTTTATTTTTGTGCGTTTTGAATGTTCTTTTTTGTTTTCTCTCCTCTGCCTAATGACATTTCTCTTTCATGACTCACCTGAAGCACATTTCCTCTAGGGAGACTTTTCTTGACATGACTAGATGGAACTCAGCTTTCCTTTATCTGTCTCTTTACTCCATCCTGTAAATACTTATATTATCAATGCAAATAACACTCTGTGCCTCCTAAACTCTAGCCATACTGAACTTGCTGTTCTCCGAACATGCTATGCCTTTCGGTGACGTCAGCAATTACACAGGTGCTGGGAATGCCCTTCTCTCTTTCTACCCTCCTCTGCATAGGCAAACCTCTACTCATCCTTCAGGGCTCATCTCAGATGTGGTCTCTCTCAAATATGTGACATTCTCGGGTAGAGTTAGCTGTACTCCACTCTTGCTCCCCTAGCCTTCTGGCCAAACCTCAATTATAGCATTTGCCACAGAAGCATCTTATTATAATTATCAGCTTACGCAACTGCCTCCCCCCAGCCATCGGCCCCACCCCCAACCCCAGGCTGTGAGGTCTCAGACAGCAATTCATCTTTGCGTCTCTAGCACAAAGCATAATAGATAAACATTAAATACTTCCTTGATCAATAATTAAGTCTTTTATGGTCCATGGTGGCCTGGGAAGAACTGCTGGGTAGGTCAGTAAGCTTTGAATACTTATTTACGTAACTGGTCAAGGCAGTTCTGGGTAGGTGCTGGATTCATAGGCCTTTTCTAGGTCTTGACTCTAAATCTCTCCTTGTTTCTCTTCTAGGTGCTTAATGCTCAACAGTCAGTGCACTGCCTGCCCATCCTCACCTCCCCATGAGCCTTGGTTCTGATGCAACCTATGGTCATGCAGGGATGCCCTTATACCCTCCCACGATGTCATGAGTGGCGGGCAGCTGACAAGTTCCGTCACAGCAGCAGTCTGCGAAGCACCTGCCCCCAGCCTCGGGTGAGAGTCCAATAATAAAAGAAAGACCTGTGGAGAAAGAGTGGACATGGGGTCTGTGTGTGTCTTTGAGGTGCTCATGTTTCCTAAGGCTCAGGGGTACTCTTTGTATATGTGAAATCCCTTGGATACTATGGGGCCTCCTTCAGGTCCATCTGTTCACTCATGAGGCCTTTTATGAGGGGCATAGGGCAAGGAAGCTTGTTGGGCTAGACAAGCCAGAAGGCCCACTGTGGCTGAGGAGGGCTGGTTCCATGTTACCCTCTAAGGAGTACAGATCTGGGGAGGTCTCAGAAGAGTGTGATCCTTCAGGGCATGGCCTAGGACAAGGCGGGACTTTCCCTTGCCCTAGCTTCTCTGTGGCATACCTTGCATTCTGCAGGTATCTCTCCCCTTTGGCTCTTCCTCTCAAGTCCCTAGTCTTCCTCCCAGCTCCTGGCTCAGCTGCACTTAGAATTCCCTGAGCTTCACACCTGCCTCTCCTCTCTATCTTCCCTGCTAGGAGTGCAATGGTGGTGGTGCGTGTGCCTGCCTGTGTGTGTTGGAAGGTGGATAGAAGATGTGTGAGAGGCAGTAACCTAGAGACAATAAGTGAGATCCAGGAAACTTGGTTGGAGAAGGGAGACATAAGCATACTTTTGGTTGCCCTACAATGTTTTGGTGTCAGAGGCCATGGGGGCATGAGAAAGTGCTATGTCTCTTAGAGCCTCATGGGTGGGCTACAGTGCCGAGTAATGTGAGGGGAGCAGGCAGCAGCTGGATATACAGGGAGGAGGGAGGGAGGGAGAAAGGCAATAGGGGTGAAGAATGGGGCTGCTAAGGAGGCCATTTGGGGGAGAATAATGAGGAGAAGTCAAAGTCCAGAGAGGCATGAGGGCCGGGTTCTCCTGAATGGTTTTCCCACATCTAGCCAGAGAGAAACTGCTGCCTCTAACATATTCTCAAAGCCAGAGGTCAACTTAGAGTTCCCCAGTAACCTATCCCTTCCCTAGAGTGGGATTTTCAGAGCATTCAGGGATCAAGAAGCCTGGGCCCTTCCAACATGCCTGCCCTACCCCTTGTTCACCCCTTCCAAGCTTCACCACCTGGACAGGGGGACCTGAGGGCTTCATTCTGTGACTGCGAATGGTATGGCCTGTTTGGAAAATAGAATAATTTAATTAGGGCCCCTCACCTCAGGTCTGGTTGGGGGTGGTGTGGTCCATTCTTTGTAAATAAGCTGTGTGTGGGTGGAGTTAGTGTGCATGTGCAACACTGCTGATGGCTGGTGTTTAGTGCCTTGGGCGTCTGCTGCTCTGTGCGACCATGTTCTCAAACCTACAGTTTCCAAGGACCTGTTTGCCAGTTATCTAGCTCATAGACCTCTGTGTGAGGGGTCTGGTGACCCAGCCTGGCATGTGAGGGGTCTGGGGACCCAGCCTGGCATGTGACGGGTTTGTAACCCAGTCTGTGAATGGGCTTGCGGGGTCTGTGAGCTCCAGACCCAGCCCTAGCTCGACAATTGGCCCAGTCAGCAGGATTATGGGCAGGTAAAAGAGCTCGACGATTGGCCCAGTTGGCAGGATTCCGACATTAGCCTAGCTTGACATGGCCCAACCTCGACAGGCCAGTTTCTCTTCCTTCCCTACAGCCTTTGTTTCAAAGCTTCAAGGGGTGGGTAGAGAGCCCTGTGGTGAATGGGGTGTGAGAAGCAAACATATTGGCCACACAAGCCAGAGTAGAAGGCAATTGATAAGGAAAGGGAAAGAAAACAATTACTCTTCATTATTTCCCTCTTATGTGCCTGGCTCTGCTGGGTGGGACTTGAGAGCGTACAGGGGAGCTAGGACAGAGAGAACAGGGTGATGGAGACTAGTATAGGTGCTGTTTGGGGGGTTAGGAAACAAAGAAGGCTAGAGGGAATGAAAGGCTAACATGGGTGGAGACCAGCCCACCGTGGGTGCTTTCCCCAGAGCCAGGACAGCTTGGTCGTGGCTGGGTCACAAGGGGGCATTTCTAACCCTGCGGCATTCCCAGTCCAGAGGACTGTGTAAAACTGGCCCAAATCCAGTTATTCCAGCACAAGTGAAGCTGCAGCCAGGAGCTAGATGCTGTCCCCTGCCATCCCTCAGCCACCCCAGTTGGCTCCACCTCAGACCCCTGGAAAGGGTCAGGCAGCTGTTCCAACTATTCCTGTAGGTGGGTCTTAGCATGGAAACAATGTGGAACTGTGGAAAGCCCAGAAGACTCTGTGGGAGATAAATGAGGATGGGAACAGAACCTTTTCTGGTAGAAACGAAGTGTTTTCCCTCAGTGCTGAGGGGTGGGGGCCCAGCTCAGGAATGTTAACCTTTCGCCATGCAAGTCTGCTAGAGAAGAGCAGCCACTTCCAGGAGGGTAGCACAGCTGGGGCACAGGAGCCTCCCTGGCACTGGCTTCCTGCATGGAGCTGCTGGGTTCCATTGTTCCCTCTTCCTGCTCTGCAGAGGTCCAAGGGGATTCCCACAGACCATCCATTTCCCTCTGGCCTCAGGGTGCAGCAAGATTCTGAGGGCTATGGCTCTCCACCACTCCTCTTTGCCTCACAAAGGCAGGGGAGAATGCTCCCTCATTTTCACAGTGGGCTCCAATGAATCTTTGGACCCCTGCACTCATCTGAGCATAATCAAATTCAGAGGGACTCTGCTGCCCCAGCTTCCTGATGCTGCCATCCCATGGCTCTGTCTCCAGGTGTGCCCCACACATTCCTCACTGCCTCCAAGGCTTACTTAGTCTAGGACAAGGCTTATTTCCCAAGCCCATCCTCCTGTCAGGCCTTGGGGAAATCACTTACCAGAGGTTTGTCACCAAAGTGGTCTAAACCTTTCCTCCACCTCAGGAGAGGGGTGGGCCTGGAGGCAGAGTGAGCCCTTTGTGTCATCCATGGAAAGGGAAAATAAATCAACAGAAACTACCCTCTGAGTGCCCCTCCTCAGCACCATGGAATGCCCAGTCCCACTCCTGCCATCCTTGCCAGCCCGGGAGGGTCATCCTGGCCCTGGTGTGGCGGGCCCAGTTGGGAGCCAGCCGGAATTCCCGAGAGACAAAGCTCTGATTCACAGGCCAGACCCTGACATAGCCGCCCCCTCCAGATTCCTGGGGGGTCAGAAAACAAACAGGGCAACAGCCCCCACCTTCTGGCCTGGCTCAGTTCTGCCTGCCTCCCTGAGCAGACTTGCTCAGAGCCCATCAGGACTCTGCCTGCCTGTGGCTCACCAAGCAGTGGGTCTGGATTCCTTCTAAGGGATAATCATGGAGCTGCCCAATCCTGCTGCAGATTCCCCAGGCAGCACAGGTAGGGTCAGCTCATGGGCTGCAGAGTGACTGAGTTCCAAGTTTTACCCAGAACTTGGCCGCTCCCTCACTTCCTTTCAACGGTGTGGTTGCAAGCTGTGGTTTTAATTGGATGATTGGTTTCCTAAATTGTCTGGAGAGTCTTGTGTGGGGAGGAAGTATGGTTTGGGAGGGAGGGAGTAGAGGAGTCTGGGCCACTAGCAGGGTCGTTTCCTTTCCAAATGAAGGCAAGCAGGTAGACAGGCAGGCAGGTAGGCAGGTGTATAGTCTCCCTAGGCTGGGGTGGAGCAGCCCAGTCTGAGATTTTCTCCTCTAATTCCCCCTCCTTGAACCCCCTCCTTGACCATGGCTGGGCAGTTCTAGGACTGTACTATAGGTAGCTACCTTCTCAAGGGCTATTTGGCATAACCACCATTCTCCCAAGCTCTGCAGTACCCCCATAGGTTCCTACTGGTTCCCGGGAGAACAAGTGATGGACTTTGAGCCTCCAGGCCCAAGGCTAGACATTGGCAGGCTCCATGGCTTGTCTCTTGGCTGCTGACTCTGGTCAGAGTCCATTGGAGATCAGGATCCAGAATGCTGCTTTAGCCTTTTCTCAGCCCATGGAAAATGAACAATGCTCTTTAGGACTATTTCCAGGTTTCCTGACTGTGGCGGGAAGTGCAGGTATGGAGTAGGGGAGGGGACATTAAGGCCTAGGTCCATTTGGGAAGTAAGACATTGACTACTGATAATTCTCTCTGGCTGGTCTACTTCCTCTCTGAATCTTTGTGGGACATCCCCTCAGTTTTCTTTTCTAGAAGGTTGGGTAGACTGTGGGACCCTGAAGTATGAGCCTACAGTTCACCTTGAAAGCCATGGTTGCCCAGCATTTGGGCAATGCTGAGCAGCTTCTTATATAATGCATGTACGTCCAGGATCCCATCTGGGCAGTGGTCCTGGCAGAATTTACAATAATAGGAGTAATAATAATAGTAGTCAGCAGCTCTGTGCAACTAACCTGTACCAAGAGAAGACCTTGCCATGGAGTCTTTCTTTATCTCATCCCCCAAACACACACACACAGTGGATAGGATTTCTGAAGCCTGGAACCAGCCCTTCACCCCACCTTGTTCACACTTGTCTTACTCTTAGCTTGGTGCAGATCAGGGTGTGGCACACTCCAGAGATCACAGGATGTCTGTGTTTCTGTCCAGGTTAGAGCTGCTGTCACTTCCCCTGCACCTCCTCGAGATGGTACTGGGGTTCCCTGCCTAAGTCCAAAGCTGTTGAATGGGTCTGTTGGTGCCGTTGGCCCCCTGGAACCACCAGCCATGAATCTGTGTTGGAATGAAATCAAAAAGAAGTCTCACAACCTTCGGTAAGGCCTGGCCCCTAGAAACAGGTGCCTTAGGGAATTGGCTTGGATGGTGTTGGGCTCCTTTTGCTGCTGCAGCTTGTCATTCTCTTCTCAGCCTGTGCACCCCCCTTTCCTCAGCCTCCCTATGCACTCCTCTCCCCTTTCCTTCTCTGGCACTGGGGAAAGAACCTTGGGTTAGAAGTCAGGAGACTTGGATTTGAGCCTCAGTTTTAAGTAGTTGTGTCATCTTGGATAAGTTGTTTGAGTTCTCAGAATTTCAGCTTCCACTTGTTTTTTTGGTTTTTTTTTTTAAGAAAAAAAATTATAGAGGAATAATGCCTGTTATAACTACTCAATGTGGTCATGAGGATTCAAACAGGATGTGAAAAGGCTTTCTAACTTAGAAGTGCCGATGGGGAAATGAAAGAAATGATTGCCGCCTCCTCCTCTTCCTCTGATAGTTGTCCTCTATCTTGGTAGGTCTCATCTGTTCACTTTCCCATACTTTAATGCCCTCTACTCCTATCCGTGGGTTATCAGCCCACCTACTCCTCCCCAGACTAAGGGCAACTGAGTAAAAGCCTAAAGGCAATTGCTGTATTAGTTGTTCTTTTCCCTACCCCTCTACATATACCTGCCACTTTTCTTCTCCACACCCTATCATCAAAGCCCAAACTCCTGGCCTCTGGTGGGCTCTGGTGGAGGTGAGGCAGTGTGGAGAAGTTGAAACAATGCACGCTTTGGAGTCAGATAAACCTGGGTTCAAATCAGCTCCACCAGCGACTTAACTATGTGACCTTGGGCAAACTCCTTAACCTCTCTGGACAATAGTAATGCCTACTCCATAAAGTTGTTGTGAGAATTAGTTGAAATAATAATTAAGGTAAAGAGCTTGGCTCGGGTGGTAGGGAGGCAATGAATAATGATAGTTATTATTGTCAGCTAAGGGGAATGGGCTCGATGGCTGCACACAGCCATGGCCAGCCTCCAGCTTTCTACCACTTGGACTTCAGCTAATGGTTCATTTGGGGCCTGAGGAGAAGCAGACAGAGATGATTATACAACACAAAGTTTTCTCCCTCCATATCTTAAACCTCTAGCCAATGTTTCTGTCATCCTTTCGGTCCCTCGAGCTGCTTGTATTTGTATGCATCCTTGCCCATGTGTGTGCCCACACTCAACCACCCAACTTACCCTTTCCACTTACTGCATGCTCTCTTACTCAGAGGGTGGGCTCGGCACATGCTCTGTGGATGAGCAGTTTGGTGTGACTTGAATTATACCAGGGCAAGAGGGGAACCAAACAGCTGTCACTCCTAATGCCCTTGCTCAATTTCCTACCCTTCCTGGCCTGATGCTGAGCATGCAGCTGACGTAACTGAGGTCCACAAAGTGGCATTGTGAGCCATTCAAGTTTGGTATACTTCCCCACCCATGACCCTCCCCATTGGTGTTAGTATTGCCCTCCATGTGGAGCTGCCTCAGGAACCTCTGTGGGTGGGTAAGAGGGAGGGCTCCGCGCCTTGTTCCACTACAACCAGAGCAGTTCTTCTGAATCTTTTGTATGTCGAGGTTCCATATAAGTGTTTGATTGGGAAAAAAGTGTTTTGCCACTTAAAAAGAAGATTGAACATCACTGGTCTTACCCATTGTGTGCAGTGCTCGCCTAGAGGCCTTCTCAGACCACAGTGGAAAGCTTCAGCTCCCTCTCCAAGAGATTATTGACTGGCTCAGCCAAAAGGATGAGGAGTTGTCAGCTCAGCTGCCCCTACAAGGGGATGTGGCCCTGGTGCAACAGGAGAAGGAGACACACGCGGTAGGTTAGAATCATAGAGGCTGTGGTGTGTAGCCTCTCAGCCGGAAAGGAATCCCTTCTGCAACACCCTGACAGATAGGCACCCAGCTCTGCTTAGACACCTAAAGTAATAAGAGGCTGTATGCAGTTCTATTAGTCTGTGGCTAGCACTCCACAGACTGTCAACTCTTTCCTCCCTACCCCCCATCAAATACCAGCCTCCCTTAAAATCCTCCCCTGATTTTTAAAGGGGACACGGGGAAATTAACATAATATAATGTTAAGTGAAAAAACACAATGTACAGGTGGATTGCAATTGTATAAAAATGTATATAGGTGTGTGTGCATGTATACACACATATAGCAACACAAGAAGGAACTATATCAAAATGTTAACAATGGTTAATTCTAGGTGATGAAATTGGAGTTCTTTTTAATTTTCTTCTTCATACTGTCCTGACGTTTCTAATATTTCCATGACATATGAAGGATCTTCAAAAGTACATGGAAAATTCATATTACTATCTTTTAATTCTATTTTTCCATGAACTTTTTGAAGCACCCTTGTTTATTACCTCTATAATCAGAAAATAACAATAAATATTTCTTTAAAATGACTATAGAACAGAATATAATACAGTAAGAAAATAAACTATAATGCATGCCACAGCATAGATGAATCTTACAGAGTATGTTGAGTGAAAAAAAAGAAGCCAGATACAAAAAAGAGTGCACACTGTACTATTCCATTTATATGAAATTCAAAAATAGGCAACACTAATAGTTGGTTTCACAAGTCAGGATCATAGTCATTTTTGGGGGGTGAAGAATGAGATAGTGACAGGAAGGGGCCACCAGGGGGCCTTCTGGGATGCTGGTGGAGTTCTAGTTCTTGATCTCAGTACTGGTTACACAGATGAAATCATTCTATGGAAATTCACTGAACTGTGCACTTTTGATTTGTGTACTCTGTATATATTTCAACAAAAAATTTAATTAAAATTTTAACATAAATCCTGCCCATCCTGGTTTTGATTTCTCTACAGAAAGTCTATAGGGAACTTTCTAAGTCTTTCAGATAACCAAGATCCCCACCTTTCTCTCTACCATGTGGCATAGACAGACCCATTTCATACTAAATAGACCTTCCAGGATCAGAGTTATTCTTCTGCATACAGGGAGGACTGCACCTCTTTTTGTCTGGGTAGCCCAAAGATACCTGATAATGCTAATAAATCAGTTACACTGAGGAGAAGATGGTTGTCAATTGCAGGATGTTGACCATACTGCTAAACTTCACAGGCCTTTATGGAAGAAGTCAAGTCTCGGGGCCCCTATATCTACTCTGTGCTGGAGTCAGCTCAGGCCTTCCTGTCCCAACACCCATTTGAGGAATTAGAGGAGCCTCATTCTGAGAGCAAAGGTGGGTGGTCTTCCGCTCTTCCCTATTCTTCTTGAGCTATGTACCGCTAAATAAACACCTTCCTGCACTCCCCAAACTCACCTTCTCAGCTGTTATCTGGGAGGATAGTTTTCTCCTAGAAGTCTCTCTGAAGTTAGGAAGAAGCAAGATTCATACTGCAGGAAAAAGCAAAGAGAACAGAGCCTGGAGCAGTGGTCACCAGTGTATGGTCCAAAGCTGTCTGTGGCTCTCTGGAGCCTCACTTGTGGCCTTTTAATGTATGAAAAAGAAAACAAAACACTCAAACGAATTGATCTGAGTTAGTGAATAAAAGTGACAATATGTCCTTTAAAAATCTACTGCTTTATTCCAACATAGAGGGACATGTGTGCTCTCTAATCAACCAGCAAATAAAAAATCATCTAAAAAGTTAGATGATGACTTTTCAGAGGAAAATTGATTTTGGCTCTTTGATCCTGACCCTGGTGACTTCTGGCCCCTTCTCTTGATAAAGAGGGCCACTCTCAGTCTAGATTCAAGTAAGGCTGCAGGGTGGTATCCATGGCAATTAGGTCTGAGTGGTGGTCCAGCACACTCTCTTCTCCAGAAAGAATTCTCAACCCTCTGAGATAGCTGCGAATAGCCTGGAAGGACCCTTCATTAACTGAGCCCTTTGTGAATGCAGTTTACCCTCTCAGTTTACTTCTAGCCCCTCAATAGGAGGGCTTGTACTTAATTTGCTACCCAATGGGCCTCAGATAGGATAAGCTCAGGAGAGAGCAGAACAGTTCTAGTTAGCCTGGGATTTGGGGGCTCTGAATCTTAAGGGGAGGTCTGAGGGAGAAAGAGGGAACCTATAAATTAGGAGCCTAGGTATAAAACACTGGGCACATTATATCAACTTCTCTCAGGCTGAGCCTTCATAAAATGCCTCCCTTTGGATAGAAGCAGGCAGCTGACACTAATTGCAAAATCACATTCCAGGCTCACGCAAACAGGACTCTGGAGAGGCCACCTCACTACACCTCTTAAAATATTTTACTCACTATTTACCTTGCCCATTTTTAAAAAATATGAAGAAATCTTCATGATATATTAAGTGGAAAAAAACAATATGGTTTCTTGACTGTGGTGGTGGATACATAAACCAACACCTGATAAAATTACATAGAACTAAATGCAGCCATCCCTTGGCATACCTGGGGATTGGTCCCAGGACCACCCCCCATACCAAAATCTGCAGATGCTCAAACCCTTTATATAAAATGGCATAGTATTTGCATATAACTTAAGTACATTCTCCCATATACTTTAAATCATCTCTAAATTACTTGTAATGCCTAATACAAATTGCTATGTAATTAGTTGTTATACTATATTGTTTTTTAAATTTATATTATTTTTTATTGTTGTATTATTACTTTTTATTGTTTTTTTTTTTTTTTGATTATAGCTATCCTGGGGGCTTGAAGTGCTTGCTATCTCATTATGATTTTGATTTACGTTTCTCTGATGGCTAATAACATTGAGCATCTTCTTGTTTGTTTATTGACCATTTATATATTTTCTTTGGAGTGATGTATATTTAAATCTTTTGTTCATTTTTAGATTTGGTTGTCTTTTTTTTTTTATGAGTCAGTTGTAAGAGTTCTTTACATATTCTAGATACAAGTCCTTTATCAGATTTATGATTTGCAAATATTTTCTCCCATTTTGGGGAGCGCCGCCGCGCTTCCCAAGCGGCGCACTTATCCAGTGCGCCACCGGGCCGGCCCATACTTTTTATTGTTTTTTTAAAAAATATTTTTGATCCCTGGTTGGTTGAATCCACAGATGCAGAACCCACAGATAGGGAGTGTCAACTGTAGCACATGTGCACGCACACACACACACACACACACAAAATGAATACAAGTAAAACTGGCTAACCCTGAACAAAATTGGTGGATTGTGTCAATGTCAATATCCTGGTTGTGATATTGTACTGTTATTTTGCAAGAGGTTACCATTTGGGGAAACTGGGTAACGGGTACATGAAATCTCTGTATTATATTTTACAACTACATGTGAGTCTACAGTGAACTCAAAATACACAGTTTAATTAATAAACAACAACAACAACAAAAAACCTGAATGTGCAAAAGTAGCTCAACCATGGAAAAATATGTATTTGTGTGTATGTACGCCCACACACATGTATGTGCATTTTACAAAGAGCTGTTTTTGTCTCTGTCTTTTTTCTGGGCTGCCCCTGCCTGGTTGACGTGGTCTGGCTTCCTGCCTGCCCTTTCAGATACCTCCCCCAGACAGCGGATCCAGAATCTTAGCCGCTTTGTGTGGAAGCAGGCGACAGTGGCCAGTGAACTATGGGAGAAACTGACAGCCCGCTGTGTGGACCAACACCGCCACATTGAGCGCACTCTGGAGCAGCTGTTGGAGATCCAAGGGGCAATGGAGGAATTAGGCACGACTCTGACCCAAGCTGAAGGAGTCCGAGCCACTTGGGAGCCCATTGGGGATCTCTTCATTGATTCACTCCCAGAGCACATCCAGGCTATTAAGGTATGCAGGCCCTCCTCCCCTGGCTGCAGTCTACCCCAAGACCTGATGCTCTCTCCAGACCTTGACAATGTTCCTGCTGCTGAGGTGCCATTGTTGGCCTGGACTATAACTGAGCCTCTCTCAGTTTATATGCTGGATATGGGGCTGCTTTGGCTGGAGTCTCTTCTGTTTTTCTATTTTCTAATCTTTCCCTGGCGTTTTCTGAGGAGAGGAAAAGGATAAGGACAGTGGCCACCCACACCTTAGTCTGGTCACCCTAACAGGCAAGCACCTAGGTTGTGTTGTTGAAATAAAACCTCTGGGTGAAGAGAGAGGAATTGCAGTGAATAACTAATGGTTCCTCTTTCCCACTCTCTGTCTGCTATGGCCCGTGGGCCCTGGTTCTCAGCTATTCAAAGAAGAATTCTTGCCCATGAAAGATGGAGTCAAGTTGGTGAATGATCTGGCCCACCAACTTGCCATTTCTGATGTGCACTTGTCAATGGAGAATTCCCGGGCTCTGGAGCAGATCAACATCCGGTGGAAACAGCTACAGGTAGAAGAGCAGCCTGGACAGAACTGTGGGGAGGCACCTCCATATAACTAGGCTTGGGGGCAACTTCTTCAGGCCTAAAGGAAGTGAAGGGGTATTGAAATGGGACCTACATGGGAAAAGAGGAGTAGAGAATGTGGGGCCAGGAAATGGGCTTCTCAACCTCTAAGCTGCAGAGAATGATTGAAATGAAGAAATGAGAGGGGCCTGTCTAGATTTGGCCACTCAGGGGAGACAGGGGCAGGGGAAGAGTGGCCTGGAATTAGGGATGCTCTGTTCTGACCTTTGGGAGTGCTGGGGAAGGGCTAGGAGTTGGTGATGGTGGGAGGGGCCGGAACCAGAGAGAAGTCAGCCTATGAAGGAGTGCCTAAAGATGCCCGGAGTTGTCTGGGGATCCCACACTGAATAGCTGGAATGAATCCACTGATGCCCTATCTGTTCTGTTCATAGGTGTCAGTTGGTGAGAGGCTTAAGCAGCTCCAAGATGCCCACCGGGACTTTGGGCCTGGGTCACAGCACTTCTTGTCCTGTACGTGAGCCAAATTGGACTTCACTTAGCAGAACCTCAGCCACCTTCCAAAAGAGCCTACTGTTGTCCCCTGGGGGCTTGATGGGAGTCCAGTGTACCTTGGCTTCCAAGAAGCAGTAAGGATAAAATAGTGTAGCATAGTGGTTAAAAGAACAGCCTCTTGAATCAGACAGACCTGAGTCTGAGTCACAGTGCCTCAACTTATAGTTGTGTAAGCTTGAAAGAATAGTTTAACCTTTCTGAACCTCAGGTTATGGGACTTAAATAACTTTGTTCAACGATATTTATCAAGGGCCTACTGTGGGCCAGCTACTGTTCTAGGCACTGGGGCTGCATCAGTGAGCAAAACAGACAGAAATCCTTAGACTTGTACAGCTTACATTCTAGTTGGGGAAGCCAAACCATGAACAAATAGGTAAAATATATCCCAGGTCAATTAGTGACAAGTGCTATGGAAAGAAATCAAAGTAGGGAAGGTATGGATAGGGAATGCTGGACTTAAGGGGAGGCATAGCAATTTTGAATAGGATGGTCAACAAAGGCCTCAGTGAGAGGCTGGCCATTGGGCAGAGGCCTAAAGGAGTAGGAGGAATGAATTTTGTGGATGGCTGAGGAGAGAGCATGCCAGGCACAAGGAACATCAGCTGCCTGGACCTTAAGGCAGGGGTGTGTCCAAGGACAGCAAGGAGGCCTGTGCAGTGTGGAAGATAGCAACATTGGGGAGGAGCTGGGTAGGCCGGAGCTCAGAGGGCGGGCCTTGTAGGCTATGGAAGAACTTTGGATTTTATTCCGAATAGAATGGAGGACCTCTGGTGGGTTTGAGCCGAGGTATGGCATAATTGACTTATGTTTCAACAGAGTCAGTGTTGAGACTAGATTGCTAGGAGCGAGAGTCGGAGCTGGGAGACCTGTTAGAAGGCACATTGCAATAATCCAGATGAGGGGTATGGTGACTTAGAGCAAGGGCATAGCAGTGGAGATGGTGAGAATATGCAGACAGGAAAATTAGATATGCACCCAAAGCATTGAGCATAGTGTCTGGCACGTAGTAGGAGCTCAGTAAATGTTAATTATAAATAGAATGACTGCTATTGTAAACACTGGCATGCAGCTATACCTACAGAGGGCTCTTGTGCCAGGGAAACTGCAGTGAGCACATTGGCCAGGTAACCTGGGCCTTTCCTGGAAGATCCAGAAGATAAAGACACAGGGCAGAGAAAGGCATGAGCTTCTGGAGTTCCTCATGAGAGAGAAATGGGCAGTACCATTCCCCACTGTCACAGAGGATTGAGAAGCTTGTCCTTCTGGGGGAAGGGCTTTGAGCCCCATGAGGAAAGTAGGGTTCACTTCATATCCACAGGAGCAATTCTGCTGCCTGCAGCTGAATAGACAGAAATGGGCCTGCTGGGGGAGAAGATTGTCATGGTGGCCAAGGCCAGGTATTCCTTTTCATGCCTTTGCCACATGTCTAGTATGTTAGGGTATCAGTGACATTCTCTTCCCCTTCCTTTGCCCTAACATCAAGGAGATAAGAGTGTTCATTAGAAGTGTTTGCCCCACTCTCAGGGGCTGTGAAGAGCTGGCAATGAGCGTCAGGCATCCCCTTTTGGGCTTGACCACCTCTTTGGGAAGATAGAGCAGGGAGTGGCCAGGGGGCCTGAAGAGCATTAGTGGCCAGCTTTCTTTCTCTTTCTCTTCTTTACCAGCCTCTGTCCAGGTTCCCTGGGAAAGAGCAATTTCACCTAATAAAGTTCCCTACTACATCAAGTGAGTGATTGTCTAAATCAGAAGTGGGTCAGTCACCTGCCCACCCCCTCCCTCACCTGTCTTTTGGCTACCTGTCCCTGTCACTCCTTGTCTGTTGGGATTCCTCCATCCAGTCCAGTTTTTCTCCTACTCATCTCAAGAGCTCAAGATTCTACCTGGGTAAAGGCGAAACCTTGTGCTTTATCTTTAGGGTTCACCCTCAGATCCTACAGCTTCTTGCATCCAACATATCACTGAGTGGTGCTTGCAACGTGTGGGGAGGTGGGGAGGTGGGGAGGTGGTGTGGACACTGGTGCTATTGATGATTTTGTTCTTAGCCACCAGGCTCAGACCACATGCTGGGACCATCCCAAGATGACAGAATTATACCAAACCCTAGGTAAGGATGTGGTGTTCCTGTATAGGGTGGGGATCTATATAGCTGCTTCTGTCCTGTAATGTCCATCAATGGATGAATGGATAGAGAAAATATGGTATATCCATGTAATGAAATCTTATTCAGCATTAAAAAAGAAGGAAATTTTGCCATATGAGACAACATGGATGAAACTGGAGGACATTATGCTAAGTGAAATAAGACAGACACAGGACAAGTACTACATGATCTCACTTATATGAGGAATCTAAAATGGTCAAATTCATAGAATCAGAGAGTAGAATGGTGGTTGTCAGGGGCTAGGGGAGGGAGATATGGGAAGTATTGGTCAAATGGTACAAAGTTTCAGGTATGCGAGATGAATAAGTCATAGAGATCTGCCGTGCAGCATAGTGCCTACAGTTAACAATACTGAATTATATCCTTAAAAATTTGCTAAGAGAGTAGAGCTCAAGGTAAATGTTCTTATAAAAAGATAATAATAAAGAGGGTGCTTGGAAACTTGGAGGTGAGGTATTATTATGATGATGGTTTCACGGGTGTATACTCATTTCCAACTCATCACATTATATACACTAAATATGTACAGCTTTTTGTATGTCAATCATACCTCAATAAAGTGGCTTAAAAAAAAGAAGAGAAGGGAATTCCAGTCAATAAGCAGGTGGGAGTGGAAGTGAATGCCTCATGCTTTCTTCAACAGCCTTCCTTCCTTTCCTCTCTGCACCTTCCTCAACTGGAGGTTCTGCATTTTCCCTTGGACTCTTTTATTATCATATTAGGAAATTATTGCTTGTAGATGTGAAGTTTGATCTGCTTTGCAAAACACTGTCCAGGCTATGATGAGTGTGACTTTTATGTGCCTTATCTTTGCCTGCTAACAGAGACTCACCACTATGTTGCAAAATTTACCATGTTGATCATGTGACCACATTTATTTTCACTGTTGTAGAGTGTTCCATTATATATAACATGGTTTGTCTATCCATTCTACTGTTGATGGACATGTGAGTTGTTTCTAGCTTGGAGCTAATACAAACAGTGCTGCTGAGGATTTCTTGTACATGTCTTCCACTGCACATGCATAGGGGTTTCTCCAGGGCATGTTTTTCAGTCTGCAGCTTATAACATTATTTCAGTATCTTGTGATATGCATTTTAAAAAACTGAAATAGACTAGGAAATATCAATGTGCAACAGATCCTAAGCAAGAGTCATATTTGATAATTAATTTTGTTGTGTTTTTACTTTGTCAAATCTAGAAAGGAATTACTTCCTGAAATGTTTGATTCAGTTATTTATGCATTCACACGTGTGTATGTATACTGGATCATGATATAAAATGAATTTCTTGGTCATAAAATGTTTGCGGGTCACTGCTCTGGGATATATATAGCTGGCTGGGTGGTAGAATACATGACTATTCCATTTTACTAGGTAATACCAAGTCGTTTTCCTAGGTGATTCTGTCAGTTCATACTTCCACTGGCAGTTCTCGTTAATCCACATCCTTGTTGACACTATTTTTAGACTTCTATTTTCTGACAAGCTGGTGGGTGTAGATGGTATCTTATTGTGGTTTTAATTTGCATTTCTCTGATCTGAGTGGGTCTATTTCTGTTCTTTGCAGCCGATCTGAACAACATTAAGTTCTCAGCTTATCGCACTGCCATGAAGCTCCGCAGAGTCCAGAAGGCCCTGCGCTGTACGTCTCCTGTTGTACTTCCTTATGACCTTCATCCCCCACTCCACCCCCGTTGCTCATCTGTCTGCTCTTTCCCAATTTCATCTTACCTTGACAAGGATTGTTGATTAGCTTGGTGGGAATTCTCCAAAGGCTGAAATGTGCTGGCTGTGAACCTGCTCTTTCCAGGGCCTTCTAATCTCCCCAAGCCCCGGACTTGTTTCTAAACTAAACCCAGAGCTATCCTCCTCCTTTTCCCTTTCCCCCTGTCTAACATGAATAACCAAACAACTGTTCATGACACGAAGTATCCCAGCCTATGGTTTGCCACCTTGGGGTTATTGAATGTAGCAACAGAATTGTTTAAACAAATGCCAGTAGTTAGGACACAGTGTGGCTGCAGATATAATGGGCCTTTTGGCCTTTCTTGGGGACACTGTTCATTCAGGCTTTCTGGCCCAGGCAGGTCTGGCTAGGCTGATCCAGCATTGGAGGTAATTAAAATGTCTTCCTGATATATGTTACATTTACCCAGCCATACATGAGCCTTCATAGCCAGTGTCTAGGTTCTCAGAACAAGATTCACAGACAAACTTATTTGCAGTTAGAACTTGTGAAAAGATTGAGAAACTTAAAATGGGATTTGATCCATTAGGAGTTAATCTAACATAGGAGGTTAGTTTATTTACATCCCACCATCTTTTTGAAGCTCATGTAAAAGAACATGGGTTTAGAAACATGTTGGGTTAATTTAGGAGAACTTTTGCTGCCTTCCCCTTCCTTGGGATTAGGGTCTTGATAAAGGCCAAGCTTGTATCATACTTGCAAACAGTTGGTCTGGAGATTGAGTCAAATCTGGTGACACTGGTGGCCTTTTCTAATCCCTGGGCTTCTACTTTTGACTATATTATTTCCTTCTCTCCTTTCCTTCCCAGTGGACCTGGTAACTTTAACCACAGCTCTGGAGATCTTCAGTGAGCACGATCTGCAGGCCAGTGAGCATGTGATGGACGTGGTGGAGGTCATTCACTGCCTGACTGCCTTATATGAACGGCTGGAGGAGGAAAGAGGCATCCTGGTCAATGTGCCACTCTGTGTGGACATGAGCCTCAACTGGCTCCTCAATGTTTTTGATAGGTAAGGGCTTTCAGCCCTGGAAGCCTCCAGGATAAAGTGCAATGGGACATCATGAGTGGGCATGGTGGGAAGGGGTTGCTCCCATGGTGGACTTGGACCCAACTCAGCTGGGAGCATGGTTGGCACGGAGCCCTGCTGGGATCAACTCTGTGAGGGAAATGACTGCCAAGTTATTAACCCTTTACATATATTCACATTCTCAGTCTCTTCTTTTAAACCTAGTGGTCGCAGTGGAAAGATGCGGGCATTGTCCTTTAAGACTGGCATTGCATGCCTCTGTGGCACAGAAGTAAAGGAAAAACTTCAGTGTGAGTACAACTCCAAAGTCTGGAGTGGTGTTGGGTGGAGTGAGAGGTGTGGTAGGGAGGAGGAAGGGTGTAAGATACGCAGAAGGTAGGTCTTATGACTCGGTAGAGGGCTACTCAGGCCACCTTATAATGCTTCTTGGCTCAGGCTACTGTAAAGAACACGTGACAGCCAAAGGCCAAGATGGGCCTGAGGCCTGTTATTGTTCCCAGTGTCACTCTAAGGCATTTGATTTCTTCTGATCTGATGTAAATACATAGCTAGGATCTGCATTGGTGTCCTGGGGTACCCAGGGCCCTGACTTTCTAGTTTTATCCCTTTCTGGCCTATCGCACTTAGCCCTCTCCCAGTCTGAAGCTCAAGCCATGTCACACATTCTACTGGAGACTTCTCGTATTACTACATGGGCAGGGTGCAGTAATCCCCATTATCTGGGAGGTGGATAGTTTGTACTTCCGTAGTTTTTCACCTCTCTGGTGTGCAATACCTTTGCTTTTTCCTCCATCCTCTATCTTGTGTCCAGTATTGTGAACCTTTCTGCAGTAGTGTCATTTGTTGTTGACTCCTAATGTGTGTTGTCCACTCTGCTAATGGGGTGAATGCTGTGTTAAATTAGACATGGTCCCTGCTTCAAGTGGTTTACAGTCCAGAGGAAGAGATAGAAGTACACAGAAAGCATTTTAAAAGTACTAATAAGAATAATCCAAATGGCAAAGGACATGTGCTATATCAGATCACAGAAGAGAAATGACAGTTGTCTGGGAAAACTTTACAGGGAAGGAGACTTTTTCATACATGTTCATGGCTATGATGTTATTTGTTTCTCCCAACATTCCTTTGAGGTGAGATGTACAGTGATTATTTATCCTCACTTTACAAGTAAGGAAACTGCAGCACAGAGAGGCTCATGACTTACCTAAGATTCTACAGCTAGTCAGTGTATTTTCTAAGGCTTAGGCGAGGTATGAAGTAGACAGACAGAACCTCTGGAGGAGCTTTGCTAAGGTTGGATCGGTACAGGGAAGGTCCTAGAAGGGCCAATGTAGTCCATATTTAAATAAAAGTATCATAGTATATTCCACAACCACTTAGAGATAATTTTTAGATGATCAGATGCTTTGAATTAGCACCTATTTTTGGATTATCCGTTGGGGTTTCCTTCCATTTGTGTGGACAATTGAGAGATGACTGTAGTATCAGACTACATGAGCTGCATGGGCAGGAGAGCATCCAGCAGCCCAGCTGTGACTCATGTTCAGATGTCCCTGAGCCCATACCTTCTCATCTTGCTTCCTGAGGAATCTGTTTTCCCAGCAGTGTCATATCTGTGTCTGGTACTGCTTTTACACACAGCTCTCTCTCTCTGTTCATCTCTCTCTCTCCTTCCCTGATGCTCTCTGTCTATCTCACTTTTTCTCTCTGAACTCAGAGAATGCTCTTTTTAGAACTCCTGGGCTTCTAGAAGGTCAGGGATGGACCTCTAGATATTCCAGTTTCAGAAGTCATTAGCTCAGTCTATATGCTATTTCCCTGTTTTCCTTTTTCTGCTCTTTCTCCTTGCACCATTCTCTTGCCATTCCTGCGTCGGGTTTGGCCATTCTTGATGGTGGGGCCAGCAGACCTCTTCAGCCAAGTGGCCAACTCAGGCAGCCAGTGTGACCAGCGCCACCTTGGTGTCCTGCTTCATGAGGCCATTCAGGTGCCCCGTCAACTGGGTGAAGTGGCAGCCTTTGGGGGCAGCAATGTGGAGCCCAGTGTCCGTAGTTGCTTCCGTTTTGTGAGTATGGAATAGGGGAGGGAGGGAGGAAGGGAGGGAGAAAGGGATATGGAAGAGAGGGTAGGAAGAAAGCAAGAAGGACTAAGAGCTAAGCTTTTGATCTGAAGTGCTCAGATGTAAGGGAATTTGTTGGGATGGGACAACAGGGCAGGGGAATCTCTGGGCTCTAGGGTCAGAGTCCTGTTGGGGAGAGTGCTAGCTCAGCTAGGGCAGGACAGAAGGTGGACACCTCTAGAGAACAGGCTGACCCAGGCCCTGCTGGTTCCCTTGCTTCTCTGAGGGACAAGGCACTTTGGGCCTCAGTCATTCCCACTGGGCTTCTTGTTTCCCTAGAGCACTGGGAAGCCAGTCATTGAAGCTTCTCAGTTCCTGGAGTGGGTCAACTTGGAACCCCAGTCCATGGTGTGGCTGGCTGTTCTGCATCGGGTCACCATTGCTGAGCAAGTAAAGCATCAGACCAAGTGCTCTGTCTGTAGGCAGTGCCCCATCAAGGGGTTCAGGTAGGGAAAACAATAGTTACTGGGATGATAATAATAAATATGCTATGTGACAAATCAGATATTACAAAACAGTGTATTACATAATTATTATATAATTATAGCTAATCTGTTGTGTGTTACTATATATTGCTATAATCCTTTCTGTTGCAGAATGTTTAACTTCTAAAATAAATTGGAAATTATGAAATATTTTATTGTTTTAGTTGTGTTATAAAGTATTATAGACCTACAAAAACATATAGAGAATACCATAAGAATACCTATGTACTAAATGGTGTGCTGGCAAATGTTTCACAACCGACTCTCCAGAAAGAAAAAAGGAAACATGATTTGTAGGGTTTACTAATTTCCGTGATGTAAATACTCCCACCATGGCTGATGTCAGGCTACCTACAGGAGGTCTCTGGGCACAGAGTTGGAAGAGATGTTTAGTCGCACACCGTTTATAATATTTCCACCATGCAGATACAATAAATGTAAATAACTTATAGAGCATAGGGAATAGGAATTAGGAAGTGATGAATTTTGAGTATTTTTTACCTTTGTTTTTAATATCACTTATTTGTAAGTTTATATAATTTAATTTTTAATAATGGCTGTATTTAACAACTGGCTTAGAAAATCCCTGAGATTTTAACAGCTAGCTCTTGTGAGCTGGTGTGAGCTAGCTCTAGCACACCATAATGTATACCCATGACCAAGCTTAAGGAGTAAAACATTATCACAATACATTTGAAGTTTCCCTGTTACATTCCTCTCCTTCTCCCACAAAGGTAACCACTAGCCTGAATTTGACTTTCGTCATAGAACATTCAACTTTTTAACTTTTTAAGGCACTAACATACAAACTCTCCTTACAACCACCCTTCTTTTTATAAGATGAGCAAATGAGGCACAGAGGTAGAATGTGACTTGCCCAGATTCACACAGCTAGTTAGTATTAGGTGGTCTGACTCCTCTAAGTCTACATACTTCACTGTTCTGTGCTACTAGGTCCGGGCAGTTCAGCTAGGTGTTGGAAGTGGATCTGAAGGGCTATTCTGTATTCTGTAATAATAGAGTTATTATTATAAATAAACTTAAGAAATAACTGTTAGTCAGCTCACCAAAGGCTGGTAGAATAAACTGCCTTCATGTTGGAAGTGTAACTTCTTTCGGGTACAGGGTGGGACCTGGGAGGTTGGACCCTTTTGAGCCATTCTTGTTTAGAAAGCTATTTGGTATAATGAGATCTCTATACCTGGTTCCCCCAGCCCTTTAAAAAAAGGCAATGAGATCATGCTATTTCCCACATTTCCTGGGCATCTGGGCTTGTGATTTCGTGGAATTTATGGTCTCTAGAATAAGGCTACCATCTGTTGAGGACTCAACCACTGCTATGGGTAGGAGGCCAAGCATGCTGTGGCTCTGTGCCTCACCCCTTCTAACGTGTGTGTATATTTGGGTGTTAGGGGAATGAGGGGAGGTTGCTGTGGCACACTGGATTCTCTTTCCTACCATGTCTCCTCTCTCCAAGGTACCGGAGTCTGAAACAATTTAACGTGGACATCTGCCAGACCTGCTTCTTGACAGGCAGGGCCAGCAAAGGCAACAAGCTGCACTACCCCATAATGGAGTATTACACGCCGGTATGGAGCCAGGCAGGTGGGCGGGGGAGGCAGCCCTCAGGTACTAGACCTCAGTTGACTTTGCCCAGCATTGGCTCAGTGTATTCTGCTCTCTTGTGAGGAGCATTCTCTGAATGATCCAGGTGATTCACTGGTTTGGGGATTCAGGCCTCTCTATTCTTCCAGCAGAGCTTCTCCCTTACCAGCTGCATCTGGCTTAGAACATTTGCAGCCATTTAAAGGGCACTGACGGGCTGGCCAGTAGCTCAGTTGGTTAGAGTATGTTGTTATAACACCAAGGTTGAAGGTTCGGATCCCTGTACTGGCCAGCCACCAAAAATAAACAAAGGGCACTTGCTGTTTTACTACAGAGAAAGTTCTCAGGAAAAGCACAGAGAGAACAAGCCAGTTCCATGTGATTTGCCTTCCATTGCTCACCTGAGCTTTTCCTGGCTAGTTTCCTGTATTGCTCTTGTACTGGGTTACTTGGTCTTTCCCTGCTACTTTGTCCTTGTTTCCTACCCTTCTAGTTAATACCAAAGTTTGTACTCAAATTAATTATAGTCATGCATCACTTAATGACAGGGATACATTCTGAGAAATGTGGTGGCAGCTGATTTCGTCGTTGTATTAGCATCATAGAGTGTACTTGCACAAAACCTAGTTGGTATAGTCTCCTACACATCTAGGGTCTGTGGTATATATGCAGTCTGTCATTGACTGAAACGTTGTTATGCAGTACATTACTGTGCTCAGCCCCTTGGGGGGAATAAAAGATATGTTCTTTGCCTGGCCCCCCAAATTCCACTTGGCTTTCACTGACAACTGTGCCCTTCATAGCTCCCTGAGCCCAGGTTGGTCAACATCCCTGAACTCCAGCCATGGAATTGCTCGTGTGCTGTGTTCAACACCCCCAGCTTCATGCTGTTTCCTGAGCTGACTCTGCTCCCTAAACATCTTTATTCTTTTCTGCCCCACACATTCCTCCAAAGCCCCAAGCATATCCCCAGTTCCCCACACCACTATCTCCCCCACCCCACCTCCCATCTTTCAGCCTGTTTCCCCACAATCCATCTTTCCAAGCTGTCATCTCTTTTCCAAATTCTATTGGGACAGAAACATGTGTGACCTGGTGGGAGCAGGGACCATGTCCTTTACTTTTCATTTATTATCATTTTAAAGAAAACATTAAAAGAGTCATACTTAGAAAACTGGCTGGAAATGGTGGATCAATAATCTTCTACTTCTTGGTCATCCTCTATACCCTTAGAATTTATAGAAAAGGTATTTTAAAAATTAACAAATACATGCTCATTCTAAAAGACTCAAATTGTATAGAGGTGTTTGAAGTATAAAACTTTAAAAGTCCCCCACTCTCCTCATCGTGGTCCCCACCCATCCAGTCCAACTTCCCAGAGACAACCGGTGTTCACAGTTTAGCATGTATTCTCTTAGACCTTTTTCTAGGAGCAGGGCATGGTAGGCATGAACAAGAGTAGATTGCCAGGCATGCTCTGCGCTCTAGGGGAGCAGCCACACCTTCCCAGTGTATCTGGAAGCCAGTAGGGTGAGTCCCTCTACCCTGTCTCCCCTCCAGACCACATCCAGTGAGAACATGAGGGACTTTGCCACAACTTTAAAGAACAAATTCCGCTCAAAGCATTATTTCAGCAAACACCCTCAGCGAGGTTATCTGCCTGTACAATCAGTTCTGGAGGCTGACTACAGTGAGACGTGAGTACCAGTGGCTGAGTGCCCGAGTATGTGCTGTGAAGGAGCTGAGTCCCAGGTGGGCTAGGGGGGTGTTCCTAGATAAATCCCACTAGTGACAAGGCAGATCAGCTTGGGCCTGACCTGGATTCTGGCCTAAGAAATTGACTAGAATCCAGTCTCTGTATCCTGTTCCCATCAGCACTTGCCCATCTCTGTAATGTGGGGGTGGGGAAGTTGAGGAAACAGGCTGCCCAGCTGCCCAGTCTTTGGTCCTCTGAGTCTTGCTGCTTTCTTCTAGGCCGGCTTCTTCCCCGATGTTGCCACATGCTGACACACACTCCCGCATTGAGCACTTTGCCAGCAGGTACCACCACATTTGTTGGGGGGGAAAGGGTATGGACAGTAGGGACTCCAAGGGGACGGGGGTTTCCAGTTGGGGCAAGGAGAATGGAGTCAGGGCCAGGGCATGTGCATAGTAGGGTATGCAGTAGCCAGAGAAGCCCATCTCTTAGGGGTGGTCAGAGTAGCTCCCAAAGCCAATGATCCTATTGCAGGATTAGAGTCCTTGAGATGAAAGCAGGCCCCACATCCTGTTTTCCCTCCTGTTTCTGCTCTTTCTTTCCCAGGCTTGCTGAAATGGAAAGTCAGAATTGCTCCTTCTTTAATGACAGCCTGTCCCCAGATGACAGCATGTGAGTTTCCACAGCTGCTTATTTTCCAGAAATAGATCTCCTTGACATCCTTCTGCTACCGGTTGGGAAGGGTATATCCTCAAGGGGATGGGGAGTGTGGTAGTTAGGGTCCTTGACTCCCTAAGGAAGGAAAGCTGCTCTTGGGGCACAGTGTTTAGGAAGAGAAGCAGTCTTCCCTTTATCAACCAAGCTGGGGAGAGAATGATGTACTGTTTCCCTGCCATCTGCCCAGGCCCCTTCCTGTTGCAAGATCTCATCCTTCAGTGCCCACCTTTGAGGGAAGAAGAATTTGCCCTTATCTAAAATTGCAGAAAGGAGCCATTATCTTGTGCTCAGGATGACAAAACCCCATCTAGTGCCACACCAACCCTGGGAGATGTCATCAGGGACTTGACTGAAATAAGGTCAAAGGGACTCCCTGGTGCAATAGCCCAAAGAAGGGGCCCTGCATCTCTAGGGAGGTCCCTAGTCTCTTCAGAGGGCCTAGGAGCTGCTGGCTATGTGGATCAATCTGGCCCTAACTGAGACTCAGATCCCTCTGGGGAGCAAGAAAGCAAAGTGGGGTAGAGTGGGGGAGCAGCACAGAAGGGAAGTGATTTGCTCATTGTTTTCCAGGGAGGTGTAAGTAGAACCCAGAAGCCCCCACATCGTGGGAACACTCTTTCCCAGTACCCCCAACAATGGCCTCTGCCAGCTCTGAACACTTATATCCCTCTCAAGCCTGAATATATGGCCTTTCCCTCTCTATGTGACTTAGAAGAGGATCCTCCAGCATGCTGCTCCTGGGGCCTCAGTTGGGGATTGAAACTCAGGCCCTGAGCTGTTTCTCTGTTTAGCTCCTGGCCACCTCCTTCCTTCTCCTCCCTATACCCATGCAGAGACGAGGACCAGTACCTGCTGCGGCACTCCAGCCCCATCACGGACCGGGAGCCAGCCTTTGGACAGCAGGCTCTGTGCAGTGTGGCCACAGAGAGCAAGGGGGAGCTCGAGAAGATCCTGGCCCACTTGGAAGATGAGAACCGGTGGGTGTGACGATGACACAAATCTATGTGGGTTCTCAAGGCAGACAGCTAAAATTCAAGTCCTGGCACTTCCACATCTTAGCAGTGTGATCTTGAACAAGTTGCTTCTATTCTGTGATCCTCCATTTCCTCATCTATAAAATGGGGATGATGATCATCGTACCTACCTCCTATGTTCACTTGTGCAGACCAAATGTGCTGAGTATAATGTGTTAGTCCAGTGCCTGGCTTACAGTAAAGATTCAATAAATGCTAGCTATTATAATAATTATTTGAATTCTTTACGTTTAACCCAGATTTTCCCAAGTACCCACTAGATGCAAACAGAGTGAATGCAAACACAGAATGCAGGAGAGTATGACATGTCTCTGCCTTCAGAGAACTTTCAGTGTTGGAAATAGAAAGATATTTATCACCTAGTGAAAGTATTCTGGAGGATGATGATACTATATGGAGCAGAGCATTTGAGGACTGGAAGAGGGAAGGTGAAGGAGATTACGGGGATGGCATTAATTTCCATAAAGCAGGGGTAGCAGCAGTGGCCTGAGGAGGGTCAAAGCCACTTTGGAGGCGTGAAGTAGAATCCATAATACCCCTTGAGCAGCGCTTCTCAAACATTAGTGTGCACACAAGTCACTTGGGGATCTTGGTAAAATACAAATTCTGATTCACAGGTCTGGGCGGGGCCTAGGTTTCTGTGTTGCTAGCCAGTTCCCAGGGGATGCCCATGCTGCTGGCCCACGACCACAGTTGGAGTAGCAAGTCTACTTCAGAACAGCATTACTCAGAGTGTGGAATGCAAACCAGGGCGAGTCATATGCATTATCACCACATAGTGGTCCACAATGGAATGGAAAACAAAAACAAAAAAACACCTGTTTTTTCACTGCAAATAGTTTGAGGAACATTATATTAGAGGAGCAGTGGGCAGTCCCTGGGAAACATTGGGCAGAGAGTGATTCTTTTCTGTTGCCCCCCACCCCCCCAAAATATGATGTCCCCAAAGGTAGGCCACCTCTATGGAATCTGTTTTCTTGATGACCCAGAATGGGTGTTCAAAAGTGGGCCAAAGAGGAGGGTCATGGAGAGAAGAAGCATGACAGATGATCTCCTGTTTATATCATGTCTTCCCCTGGAATCTAAAAATTTTTAAATGGAGTAGGTGAAAAAAAAAATGGAGTAGGTAAGTCAGTGGCCCTAATGCCTCATTTATTTGTAGACTGTGTTTCTGCCTGATTTTAAGGTCAGAATTAATCCCTGAAGCAGCACATCAAAGTCCAGAGACATTTCTTATGTGAAATGTCACCTATCTCTGTTCTGAGATCTCAGGATGGCAGAATAAATGACATACATGCTGGAGAGAAAGTGAATGTGTCCATTCAAGCAAGAGCACGGCTGGGGGTAGGGGTAAGGGTGAGGGTGGGTGGGGTGGGAAAGCCCAGGGGTTACTACACCTAGGTACAAGGGGACATCTGGGACCTGGACAGTCGGTACTCTATTAGGACCACAGGTCTTGGCTTTTCTGTCCTTGGCAGGATTCTCCAGGGAGAGCTGAGGCGCCTGAAGTGGCAGCACGAGGAGGCTGCCGAGGCACCCACACTGGCTGAGGGGTCCACTGAGGCAGCACAGGACCACCGTAATGAGGAGCTTCTGGCTGAGGCCAGGATTCTTCGGCAGCATAAGAGCCGCCTGGAGACGCGCATGCAGATCCTTGAAGACCACAACAAGCAGCTGGAGTCCCAGCTGCAGCGCTTGAGGGAGCTGCTCTTGCAGGTTAGGCGGGAGCCAGGGAAAGGACCAGGGTAGCCCCTGAGCACAGGCGGGGAGGGCTGGGGCAAAGAGGAAGCAAGAAAGAGCTCCTTGGCAGTGGCTATCAGGTGACTTCCTGAAGAGAACTGGGCTTGGCAGTTGGGGAAGGAAGGGGCTAGTTTGATCACATTCTTGGCCATTTCTCTTTCACCTATACGCCACCCTTGTGTGTCACTCTCAAGCCACTGTGGAACCTGGGGCAGAGGGAGGACTTTTGAGGGCTCACTTCTTGACAACCCACTGGAACCTAGTATTGAAAGAACAAATTTCAAAAATCATCCAAAATGTTGATTTTGCTGGCATGGTGTTTGAAGAAAGAAGCAGGTTTGTACATGTTTGGCAGAAGATAAATTTTTGCTATAAAGAGGTATCTTGTTACTTTTTGCCCTTTTCATCTCTGAGAGGTAGTGTATATGAAGTAGAGTAGCTGTGGACTCAGACAGCCCTGGGTTTGAATGTGGCTCTTCCGATTAGTGGCTGTGGGGTGTTAGGACAGTTACTTAACCTTTTTAAGTCCTGGTTCCCTTATCTGTAAAACAGGAATAATAATCGTACCAACCTTATAGAATTGTAGAGAACATAAAATTCGATAATGCATTTACAGAATTTAGCACAATACAGTAATATAGTACACACTTCATAAATGTTATCTATTATTGTCATTATATGTAGCAGGCAATACCACACCCCTGCCTCTTCCTCAGGTCCTGCAGGGGATGGCCTCTAAATGGATTCCTGCAGGTTTCTAACATAGGCTGTTATGTCATGAACCAAGGACCAGGTGTGCAATTCTACATTTCCAGGCAGAACCGGGTTCTAAATAGCTTCATTACAACTGAAATGACACCAAGAGACCTTTAGGTATGATGCCATCCTTACAAGAGCAGGGAGCCTTTGACACATGTTTTTGAAAGAAGAAGGTAATTGGTAATTGAATATTTTAAGAAGTTTCCTAAAAGAGGAAGTCACTCTTTGGGGCACTGCCAAAAGCTCCTTAAAGTCTAAGGGCAAAGGGATGGGCATGAGGTCTCTAAGGTCCCTTCTAAGCTCAGGAATCTGTCAAAGGTCATGAAGGCAAAGCTGCTTGAGTCATGCCTTACTTCCTCCTAGCCATCCACCGAATCAGACGGCAATGGTTCTCCAGGCTCGTCTCTAGCATCCTCTCCACAGCAGTCAGAAGACAGTCACCCCCGGGAGAAGGGACAGACTACTCCAGACACTGAGGCTGCAGGTGACCTCCCCTGGCCCCTCCCAGCCTCTTTCTCCATGGCTTTGTCCTGCCCTAGATTTCCTGCCCAATGTTCTGCTAGGGCTGGAACTGGTTTCTCCTCATGGCTTTGAACTTAGGGTCAGGGATGATTGATTTATTGATTCATTCGTTCATGTGTTTATTCTACAGATGTGTATTGAGTGCCTCCTATGTACTAGGCATTGTGCTGGGAGGATGCAAATGCTGTGGGTCTGCCTTTCAGCTGGCAGCATCCTATCTCGGCTGTTTGGCCTCACAAGCGAATCTCTAGTTCTCTTCCCAAATCTTTCTTTTCCAACTCAGATGATATGGGGTCAAAGAGCCAGGATGTCAGCCTGTGTTTGGAGGACATCATGGAGAAGCTCCGCCATGCCTTCCCCAGTGTACGAAGCTCTGATGTGACTGCCAACACACTGCTGGCCTCTTGATGGAACCATATCCCCATCCTATAATCCATGGTCTTCTCCTGGTCCTGGTCAAAGTCTTCCCTCAGCCTTCAGCCAACCTTTCCAGTCCCCACTGGCCCCACATTCCTCAATCAGAGTTATTTGGGCTCCGGGCAGCAGCATGGATCTGGTGATATGTGAGGTGGGAGGTGGGGTCAGGGGAAGGGGAGGCATGATTCCTCTGAATCTACAAATGTGCCCTTTAATCCTCAGGTTTGAGACCAGTCCCTCCAGTACCCTTCTGTCACAGCCCAAGTATATAGCACTTGCCATTCAGACGGGGAGCAGATAAGCTGCCTTTCAGAGCTAAGCAGTGCCCATCAGCTCCTTTCCCTTCTCTGTGGAGTTATGAGAGAAGGAGAAGCCTAACGACCCAAGGGTTCCAACATTATGAATCCACAGGGGTTAGCTCTACTCTCTGGCCCAATTCAGGGAGGAAAAAGGGTATCCCTGAGACACCATCCTCCCAAAGTGCCCCTGAAAAAGTCTGGGCAGTGTGTGTACTGTTACTTCAGCTCCAGGGCAGATCTCTAGCTACAAGGCGTTGTTTCCTCCTCGAATATCTTTAGTTCCTTCTGCCTCAGTCCTTGGCAGACCTTCCTCAAGGGGGCAGCAGTTCATTCTGATTCCTACTCCCACCTTACACTTGGAAACATTAAAGAAATACTTCAGGTTTAGACTTTTTGCCCCTGATCCTCCTCTTTCCTGAAGGCCTCAGCATCCTGAGAGACCTACTAAGTTGCTCTGGAAACCCAGCTGAAGCCACCCTTTACTCCTTTGAGTCTGTCTTCACAGACCTGGGGCAGGAGTGGCAGCTTGCTCAACAAAGGGATCTTGCTCTCCTTGGGTGAGAAAGGAGAAGCCACCCTCTAGCCCAACACCCTTCCAGGCTGTGACCCTTCTAGCTCTTAGGCTGAATGGGATGATGTGGCTGATTGCCCCTAGCTAATCATAAGGCAGTAGCAACTGGCCACCCTGAGTGGCTCCCCTTCCTACAAGCCACTGGCCATGAATCAGGATGCTGACCACTTTCCACCCAGACAACAGCAAGGCCTTCCTGTGCTTAAAAATGTTCTTTCTAACTCTGGAAGGTGAGCCCAATCCTCAAACTGAACTAACTCTTCCTAGGCAACATATATCATAATCCCTTTATCCAGGAACTGTTCAGAGTAGACAGTGGGTGCTAGGGGGAGTGGGCTTTGGAACTGTGAACAGAGTCCAAGCCCGTTTAGTCAGCTTTCTACCAAGGGGAGCTTTATAACCTAGAGCCCTGCAGGCGACTTAATTTGCCGAAGATTATATACATACATATTTACTCTACATAGCTACCATACATCAGTGCTCTCCCAGCTCACTCACACATTTAATTCTAATACCTCTTGAAGTATTAGTGTTCTGCATTGCTCTTTGTTAGCCCCAGCCTCTGGTTGGAACAATAGATGCATCCTGGCTGCGTCCCTAGGATGTCTCTTGCCATTGATATTTAGGGTGGGCTTTCCTCAAGACCAAAGCAACAGAAGCCTGTGGGCACAGAGGAATCTAACTGGAACAGTCACTGTTCTCTTCACTCACTCCACATCTTGTCCCCTTGAGACCTGGGCCTTGGATGAATTTTTCTGGGCCTACCTAAACAATGGTTCAGGTACCAAAATATAGTAAATCCAAGCTCTACCCACCCCACACAGGAAAGAAGGAACAAATAGGCCTATATTAACCTTTGCCAGGCTAAGAACAGAGTATATCCCCTGGCCCCTTCTGATTGCCAAGGTCTGGCTCAGGGCCTTAAAGAAAGGACCAGTTGCCACCAAGATCAGGAGGGAGCGAGATGGCTGGGGTACTGTGTTCTAATCAAGCAGTGGGCCAGCGGGTAGGACTGCTGCAACCTAGATTGATCTGCTCCAGGGGAGGGAAGGCAACAGCTTGGGTCCAGAAGCCCATGATGGCCTCCTCCCCCACCAAGCCACAGGTCTAGGGTGTCAGAACTCCCATCACAAAGGAGGTCTCTGGGCAGGAGAACTGGGTATCTGGAAATATGGTGAGCAGGTGATAGCCAGGCATCCACCACAGAGCCTGGGTGTCACTCGGAATGGGGGCATATTTGTAGAAGCCTAGATTGTGGGCAGGAATGGGATAGGAGAAATTTTCTGTGGGACAGAGGGCTCAGGGACTTTGAGATATGTGTCTGCCTAAGTCTCAGGAGGGCAGATATTATGGAACAGTCCTTTACCAGGGAAGTCCTTTCTATAACCCCCACCCCACACGAGAGCTTTTGGGCTGCTGAGGGCCTGTGGCAACTGCAGTGGGCCAGGCATGGTAGAAAAGATGTAGATCTCGTCATGTAGGACTTGCGTGGTAGATGGACTGAAGCAGCAGGTCAAGTTGAATTCTCTCTAGGGGGGCCACTGACACTTTGTGGTCCTGTGTTTACCTTAATACCTGAGGTTAGTATATTACTCAGGGGTCCAGTGACAGTCACTGCAGCGTGTGTGGGCAGTTTGTCCACAGTGGTAAATGGATCTTTGGGCACTGTGAACCCAAATCGGGGTTGGAATTACCAAAAATGTGCTGTATGTTGTTAGGCATCTGTTGTGTATCATGTCTCCTAAAGGTATTATGTGTGGTGCTGTGTAGTTTGTGGCCCTGTACTGGAAGGGTGGTGCAGAAGGGAGTTGCTGGGTTGGTAGCCTAAGGCAAACCTTCTGATTTGTGGGATTAGCATCAGTAATAAAGAATGTGAGTGTTTGCTGGGTTGTCCTCAAATAGTATCAGGGAACAGTTAGAACTGATAGGTAACTTATTCGCAACAGAATTCAGTAGAGACCAAAAACCATTATGAGGGTACCTCTGCTCCCAGCTAGAGCAGCACGGATTCGCATTGCTTAGGAATTGTCCAGGAAGGCTGACTGGCTGGAGGACATTAGGCTGTGGTATGGTTCTCTAGGGAAGTTCCCACCAGAAGGACATGTGCCCTTCCTTCCAGAATGGAAAGGCTGGAATCGAGGCTCTCAAGTGCCCATTTCCTTCAAGGCCTAAAGTTGGGAACTATTTCTCTATAGAGAAACATGCTTGTTTTTGGTGCTCCAGGAACTGGGCTGGAAGGCCACAGTAATGAGAAACCCTGGGGCCAGGCAGAGGCCAATACTGGGAGATGTTTTCCCTCCAGATTTATTTTAAGGAATACCTGTGCTGCCTGGGGTGCTGTGTTTGGGATTTAGGCTCCATATCCAGCTCCAGGCTAGAGCATTCTTTGAATTCGCATTCTCAGTGGCAGTCATGGCCTCTGGGACCATTTCAGGCCAAGAATTGCATCCAATTTCCCTTGACATAGCTGACAGATAATCAAGAAAGTAGCTGCCTTAACAGGAACAGTCTTGGGACAGAAACTGGGGGCCCTGCCCTAGGGCTGTGGGGATTTAGCTCCTCAGCTGAGCAGCACTATCTCTGGGTTTCTCTGCCAAAAACTGGCCCTGGGAACAAAGGAATACTTCAGCCACTTCTCACTCTTCTGACAGCAATGGCTGTGGGAGAGGGAAAGGCTCAAGGCCAGGGATCAGCTCTGTGTCCATCTCCTCCCACAGCTGCTACATTTGGGAGAGGACAGGCTGAATGTCCTTGCTGTCCCCAGGACAGAATTGAGGCCAGACTGAAGCCTGCAATGCTGCTTGCTGGCTGCAAGAACTGGTCACAAGGATGGGAATTGGGGAAGGGATTCAGGGGCAGTGGCAAGGGTGGCATGCAAATCTAGAAAAGTTGGGACAGTGGGGCAGGGTTGGGAACAAATTGGATAACTTTGATTGCCACTCACTGTGGTGCTTTCCCCCTATCCCTTGAATTCTGCTTTGAAAAGAATAAATTTGTATTTGTTTACTTTGGTTCCTCTGGTTATACTCTCTGACTCTATTTCACATCTTTCCCTTATTTGGGGTGGGAAGAGAGGGTGGATCAAGAAGCCACAGGAGCACTGCAAAACATAAGGCCACCAGAGTATAACGCTTATGCAACAAAAAAAGGACACCCTCATTAGTTTCATCCGCCACTGTTACCTGGATTGGTCGCCTCTCAAGCCTTCTAACACAAACTAGCTAGTTATCACCTCACGGGATGAGCTCTATATAGCAATGGTTCCTAAATTCCATCTTCATCAATCTGAGGAGTTTTTCACCAGCGTGAAGCAATATAAGAAAAATCAGGAAAATGCAGGGAGTTTCCATAAAGTTACATTTATTTAATTAAAGGTCTATTCTTTATTCTGAGATTTTGGCTATATATATTGTTGGTGTTAAAATGTCCCTATGAATTGATGGTGATAGTTTTTTAAATACTGTTTTCTAGCAAAATAAAATCCTATCCATCCCTCTTCCCCACCACCAATTTTTCTTTTCTCACCAATCTACAGCAGCACTGTCCTATAGAAATATGTGAGCCACATATTTAATTTAAAATTTTCTAGCAGCCATATTAAAAAAGTAAAAATAAACATGTGAAATTAATTTTATATTTAACCCAATATTTTCAAAATATTATCCTTTCCACGTATAAACAGTATAAAACGATTACTAATGAGATATTTTATATATATATATATATATATTTTTTTTTTTTTTAAACTAAGTCTTCAGAATAGTCAAGGCTGACAGATTCAGCTGGTAAAGAAACAAGAAACCCAGATAGGTCCAGACAGTTATTACTTATAGAGACAGCAAAAGCAAGATCAGCAATGGTATCATCTCCCCGAATCCCTCGTCTCACAGGATGACACTGAAAGAAAAGGGGCCAGATGGCACGTGACACGAATGTTGGGCCCTCCTGGTGCTGAGTAGCTAATGCCACCCTGCAGCTAAGCAGTTTTATGGCCTGCAGCTGTGCCCTATGGGGGTGGGGGCACTCAGAAAGCACTGTACCGTACTGGAATGAGGGAGGTGAATGAGAAACTGCCTCATGGCATCTCCCTCAACATACGGAGGCGAGTGAGAAACTGTCTTGTAGTGACTCCCCACAAGACTGTCTTCCCCTGTTCTGGGAAGATCACAGGGTGTTCCTCCAAGACCTGAGTCAGCCTACAGTTGAGCCTTGCCTACGTGGCCTATGTGAATAGTGCCAGGTCGTCAGGGCCCGGCACCAAGCAGTTCCCCTGCAGAAACCCGGTGTATACTTTACACTTAGGGCACATCTCAGTTGGGACTATCTATATGTGAGGTGCTCAAAAGCCACGCATGGCTAGTGGATACCATATTGGACAGTGCAGATCTGTAACATGTAAAAGAATCACTGAGCTATAGCAAAGGAAAACTAAATGAGGTAGGGGCAGGAGCTGTTGGGCATTGAGTCAGAGCAACAGGGTAGTGTTTATGGTTCTGCCCCAGTTCCCTGCCTGCCTTTATCTGAAAAGACCTACCTTCTTTTCAAACTCTGCCTCTTCCCACCCCCCTGTCTTCTGCCTCTGATACTTAATTCCTTTCCCCATTCTCCTTATTCTCATCTTTTAAGTTCTGGGTTTCTGAAGAAACAATCCTTTTTATATCATCTTGGTTTTGAAGCTGTTCTCTAACTTCTCTGCTAATCTTGGCTTGATTTTTTTTTTGCCCTTAGCATGCCTATCTCCCTTGGTCCTATTTCTTCCTCTGCATTTCCCCCAGCACTATTGCTGTCTTCCTCCTGTCCCCCTAGGCCCTGCCCGTACATATTGACCTCTTCTTCTCTGCCCGTGGCTTATCTTCAACTTGGCATAGGAACACTCAAAGTGGCAGAGAATTTGGGAGTACATTTCCTAGAGCAGCACTGACTTTGTCAATTGGGACCAGCTTGGTGCTAGCTGAGCTACTTCCAGAAAGTCCTCAGATGCCTCTTGGTGATAAGCTTCACCTTCTTAATTTACACGGGAAGAAATGGAGGCTCTAAGAGGTATAGGGACTTGCCCAAGGCAAGTGGCAAAACTGGGATTCCAACCTTGTGTTCTTTCTATGACAACATAATAATTTAATTCAAATATTGGCACTGCCATTTGTATCACTTCTCTATATTCCCTCTCTCCATATCCCAATGCTATATGGTTAATATGAGATGATTTCTAGTTCATTATGAGTTCTCCTAAGAACTCTTTGGAAGGATGCCCCAGGACTGATAGCATCTTCTGTCATTTCCTAATCAGAGTGCTATGGTCTGAGTGTGTCTCCCTAAAACTCGTATGTTGAAACAATCTACAATGTGGTGGTATTAATAAGTGGGGCTTTTGGGGGCCGGCCCGGTGGCGCACTGGAGAGTGCGCTGCTTGGGAGTGCAGCGGCGCTCCCGCCGAGGGTTCGGATCCCATGTAGAGACCGGTTGCCGCTCACTGGCTGAGCGCGGTGCGGGCGCAACACCGAGGGTTGCGATCCCGTTGCCGGTCAGTAAAAAAGACAAAAAGGAAAAAAAAAATAATAAGTGGGGCTTTTGGGAGGTGATTAGGTCATGAGGGCTCCACCCTCATGAGTGGGATTAGCACCCTTATAATATAGGCCTTAGGGAGCTTATTTGCCCCTTCTGCTATGTGAAGACGCAGCAAGAAGGCTCTATCCACGAAGCAGACAGAGCTATCACCAGACATCAGATCTGCTGGTGCCTTGATCTTGGACTTCCCAGCCTCCAGAACTGTGAGCAATAAATTTCTGTTGTTTATAAGCCACCCAGTCTATGGTATTTTTGTTATAGCAGCCCGAATAGACCAAGACATAGAATTTATTGCTTGTCTCCTAGTTTCCTTTTGGATATGAGTGTGCTCACCATGGGGGCAGTTTAATAAACTGACAACAATCCATTTAAAAGGAAGAATTTATTTATTGCTTAAAGAACACAGACTACAACACCTTAATAATACAGGTAAAAACAAAACAAAACAACCCAGGGTTGTGAAGGAAGTCTTCATAGGTATTGCAGGCATATGGTTTTTCCTAACCTTTTCTGATGGGGTTAGGATAAGAAGGCTCAGAATAAGGATAACAGCTAGGAATTTCTTCATCTCTGCTCTAACTGTTTACTTAGCTGGTGAATAACAACCAGCCACAGTCCTAAAAACACAACAGAACAAACATAAGCAGCAGCAAGAAATCATCCCTGGGCAGGAAAGCAGCCCTGTTACCTGAACAGAGACAGGACACAACCTAGTATTAACTGCTGCAAGGTAGGCACTTAAATTCATTGTGGCAGGTCCTAGCCCTTGGTATAAATAGCTTGATATTTTTCCTGTTTTAGGAAATACTTAAACAAGAGTTTGGCAAAGCTAAAACATGCGCAAACCAGCTATATGGCCTTGAGGCTAGACTATCTGCCTTTGGCAAGCATGGCTGAATCATCTGATGGCACCACAACACAGACGCAATATAAGTAATTCTCAAATTGAGGAAGAGAAGCAAAGTCTTGAGGTTGAGTGGGGTCTTTAAGTCTACCGCTTTTTTATACTGTCCCTTTCTACGTGACTACAAACTTCGAACATATTATAACCTCCCCAAAAGGTTCAGAGAAACAAATACAGTTGATAGGGCAACAGAAGGTACAGAAGCATACACGATTTCATCCAGTCTTCAATTGGGATGATGAATCCAAGGTTTGTATGCCAGGCTGAAGGCTCTCCTCACTTCTTTAGAAAACATTTCAGTTTTCCTTGTAGGGAAATGAGCTGTAAGGAGAGGCAGAAAAACATGAAAAATTCATCTGAAATCTTAAGTTCCATTACTTGATCTAGAATTATATGAGCCAAAAAGAACTACTGTCATTTGGCATTTATAAGGTTATCTTAGTCTTACAATGTTCCAAAGAACAGTGCCGCAGTCAAGAATGCATGCACAATGCCATGGCCATGATGCTGTCCTTTATTATGCCAAACTTATAAAAGGAAGCTTTAAAATTAAAAATGTTTTAAGAAATTGAATATGCTTGCTGTTAAGAATCTGTGCTTCTGTGAAGAATATACACAGGTCACAGGTCACTGTAGGGGCAAAGGAGATGGGATCACTGTTGCCATCTATATTATCAGAGAAGGAAGATAAGGCAGTTGGGATAGTCTCTTGTCCCAATGAACACACTAGGTCTTATACCAAGTCAGATCTGCTGCTTCTTACCATGTTATGAGACACTTAGAAACCGGGTCAGAGTCCTGATGGAGGAGTCTGGTGATCTTCTACTTATGCTTTTTAAGTCAGAAGCCCTGAACCTTTTGTGGTATAGAAGTTGTTTTTGTTTTTTTTTTTAACTTGAAATGGTAAAGTGACTAATAACATTCAGAGGTGTATACTGTCTTTGGGACAAAGATTGTTTTTGGATATTATTCAATTTAGGTCACTCCATACCAGTATGGATTTTTAGTCTGTGAAATGAAAGGAATGGAGTGTTATAAAACAATCCTATGCTGCACATCACCTACCAAACTGCTATAATTGCTATCTGCAGTAATTTAGAGCCTCATCTCACCATGATTACATCACCATGATTACAACCACTGACAGCTCCAGTTCTTTCTCCTTTGTGGGCTTTCTTCTCCCACTATTCCCTGAAGGTAAGTTTTCCCCTAGGTTCAGACTTCTTGTGAATAGTCAACCTGGCTAACTCATCTAGCTCTACAGCTGCAATGATCATTTCTGTGCATGAGCCTTTCTCCTGTCTCCCATTTTCAAAAGCACTTCCAACTATATTCATCCTTGTCTCCCCCACCCCCAAATCCTCTTCCTGTTGTCTTCATTTCAATGAATGGCACACCATTTCGCAGTTACCCAAGCTTTGGACTCAGCTTTGTTCACTCTCTTTGCCCTGCAAATCCAATTCTTCTATGGTTTGTACCTTCCTCTAGTCTCTCCCCTCTCCAATTTCTGCTATATGAGGATACTTCAAAAAGTTTCTAGAAAAATAGAATTAAATGATAATATGAATCTTTCCATGGACTTTTTTTTTTGTCTTTTTTGTGACTGGTAAGGGGATCGCAACCCTTGGCTTGGTGTCACCCACACTGCGTTCAGGCCATCCCTATATAGGATCCGAACCCGCGGCGGGAGCGCTGCTGCGCTCCCAAGTGCCACACTCTCCCGAGTGCGTCACAGGGTTGGCCCCCATGGACTTTTTGAAGACCTCTCATATACTGCTGGCAGAGAAATCTTCCTGAGTTACAGGTAAAAAAGCTTTGATGGCTTATTGTGACCTACACCAAAAACCTAAACTCTTTAGCCTGGTATCACCACCTCTGCGCCATCATGCATGCTGCTTTCTCACAGAATGCCCTCCTTTCCCTATCTCCTCATGAAAACCCTACCTGTATTTTAAGGCCCCAAACATCATCTTCTCTGTGAAGCCTTCTCTGATCTCCACAGACAAAAATGAGCTCTCATTCCTTTAAATCCCTACCACTGTTATGGATTTCTCCCAAATGAAGGCAGAGACTATTTCATAAGCACTTCATAGCTCCCTGCAGAACCTAGCTTAAAGTAGGCACCCAATAAAGCTATGTTGAATAAATGAGCTAACATAAAGGACTCTGAGTAAATAAAATTTACAGCTACATCTCTGTTGAAAATAGCACTCTCCAATACTAACTGCTTACACAGATAAAAACAGAGATGTTTGGTAGGCACTAAAGCAATCTTGGCATTAACTGTTCACCTGGCTGTTTATAAGCAGTATTTGGATAAGTGATTTGCTGAGAGAAGGGAATATACAGAACAAAAAATTTCCTGGCCTTGTGGGGATGGGGGTGAGGAGCGGTGCTTCTGCCTTAAGAACCCCTGCTAAGCCCATCCTCTTAATACAACCTCCAGTCCTTTAAAATGGTTACCCTCAACAGTATAGGGCTGGAGTCAGCATACATTTTCTATACAGCTACTTGACCCTCACCCCACGTTGCCCTCTTCTCTTTTCACTCTGTACACTCTCTTGTGGCTTTGAATAATACAGTTGTTCGAATTAGAAATCTGGCATACATTCTTAACATTTCCTTCTCCTTCGACACCCAGTAATTGACCCAAGCCCCAAGTCAATTCTACCTTTAAAATACGTTCTTTCATGTATCAATGTTCATGGCAACACTATTAATAATAGCCAAAAAGTGGAAACAACTCAAATGTCCATCAACAGATGAATGGAAAAACAAAATGTGATCTATCCATACAATGGGATATATCACATTTTCAGTAATATATTTCAGTCTTAAAGTGAATGAAGTACTGATACATGTCACAACATGGATGAACCTTGAAAACATGCTGAGTGAATGAAGCTAGACACAAAAGGCCATGTACGAGGGTACTTCAAAAAGTTCATAGAGGATGGCTGGTTATTTCAGTTGGCTGGAACATGGTGCTGATAACACCCAGGTCCAGGGTTCCATCCCTGTACTGGCCAGCTGCTTAAAAAAAAAAAAAAAAAAAAAAAAGGTTTGTGGAAAAATGGAATTAAAAAATAATATGAATCTTTCCATAAACTTATTGAAGACCCCTCGTATTATATGATTCCACTTGCAAATTGACTGTGGTGATAGTCGCACAACTCTGTGAATATACTAAAAGCCATTGAATTGTATAGTTTAAATGACTGAATTATATGGTATATGAATTATATCTCAATAAAGCTGTTATTAAAACATTTTTATCACAGTTTAAAAATCTACATCGTTTCCATCTCCACTGGCACTACCTTAAGTCCAAATTACTATCATCTCTTATTAGACTACCACACAGCTCCTAACTGGCCCCTTTATTTCTACCTCTGCCCTCCTACAATCCATTCTCTGGATAATAATCAGGTTTATCTTTTAAAAGGTTAAATTAGATGTGATTCTCCTGCTTAAAACTCTTCAAGGGCTTCCAATGCCCTTAAGACTAAAATCCCTTCTCCTTCTCATGGCCTGCAAGGAACCATATGCCTCTGCCTACTCCTCCAACCTTACGTTAAACCACTCTCTTCCTTGCTTTAAATACTCCAGAGGTCCTCAAGGAGGCCAAGTTCTTTTCCAGTGTGGGACCTTCTTGAGCTCCACCCAGGAAGCTCTTCAACCCACTCTGCCTGGACTTATCCTTCAGGTCTCAGCTTAAATATCACCTCCTCGGAGAGGACTATCATGATAACCCAATGTAATTCAAGACTCTCTTTATTCTAATAGCACCAATGACTTTTTTTCCCCTCAGAGCACTTCTTCATAATTGTACCTTTATAGTTGTATGATAATTTGTTTACTGTCAATCTTCCCTGCTAGACTGTTAGCTCCATGAGGCCAAGTATTATATCTGGCTTATTCACCACTGTACATCCAGTCCTTTTCACTTTGCAGGCATTCAATATCTGCTGAATGAGTGAATTTTCACAAAGACCTTGTTCTGCCCTGCTACCCTCATTTAGAAGATTTGGCCACCACTATTTCTGTGAAAGGAACCATCAGAAATGAGATCGGGGGTTGGAGGTGGGGGGTTCTTTGTATCGAATGTTTTCTGGTTAATTTGAAAACATACATCTCACCTGCTCATTTTTCTGTTTTTCCTGTAATGTAAGCTGCTCCAGCACAGAGTATAAATGATTCTGGAAAACAAATTGTACAAATGATGAATGCTGAGTCTCAAAGGAAAAGAGAACCCAGGGAGACAAACAATTTGGCAAATAATTTGATAAGTAAGAAAACTGTCATACGCAAGAGCACTGTTTTTAAAGGATTTAGAGTATGAAAACTATAGCCCCTAACTACAGTGCCATCCTACACAGAATTTTTTATTTTATATTTTTATACATCCTACATGGCATTTTTTTCTTGACCTAAAATAAATGGTTGGAATACCTTCATGTTACCTTTTGCTAGTTAGCACAAATCCTTTGGCTGTGGTGACCTTTAAAGAAGCTGGCTTGGAATCTGGTGCTGATGCCTCTTCCATTTCTCCTCACTAGGGCCGAATATTACTGTTCCTAACTAGTACTACAAGCAACAATAATCACGATAGTACCATATATCTGTATCTTTCAAAGGTATGTCCGTATTTATCATCTTACTTGGTTATTCTAAAAGACAACACCCAAAATGGGTATAGCTGTGCATCTAGTTGCCCCCCTTTGATGACTATGGCTCTACAGAAAATGAAATCTGGCAAGAAATTCTCCAGATGCTTCAGAATTTCCCTCATTATATAAAGGGAAGCAACTATGGCCTAACATACATTTCCTTTTGTTGAAGCTCTTAAACATGTATTAATAAAAATAAAGCAAGATATTTATTCTTGTTCAAGCATGCATCATAAAAATATAAAACAAATGTAGTTAATTCTCTCACTGCTATGAATATATTTTGGTACAAACAACAGTGTTCAATCTATGCCCTACCATTCACTATGGTCCTTAGCAAGTTACTGAACCTCTTGAGTTTTAATTCTTTATAAAATGGGAATGGTGACAGTATCTATGTTTCAGGGATGTGAGGATGAAATGAGATAATACATGTATAAGTCTTAGCTATGTGACTTTTACATAGTAAATGCTCAATATTGGCAATTATTACCTCAAATCATCTGGTCACTTCCCCAAAATGCCTACATTAGATGGTCAAAATTACTCAGGTAAAAGAAAACAGGGCTATCTTTTAATTGGGGGTCTCTATGAGGTTGTTTAGGTTCATAAATGAACAAGAATGCTGCATAGAGATGGCATGAGTGGAAACACAAAGATGAGATTTGAGGGCTGGTCGGTTAGCTCAGTTGGTTAGAGCACAGCCTTATAACACCAAGTTCATGGGTTGGGATCCCCATATTACTGGCCAGCCACACACACACACACACACAAAGATGAGATTTGAAAGTAAGATATAAATATTTGTTTATACCAGCCAATAAGAACTTACCTTGAGCATCAGGTTTTCCACTTTCATGATGAGATTCTTCTGTCTTTGTGCTCTGTTCTTAATCTCTTGGAGCTTTTTCTCCGTGTAATAAATCTGCTTGTGAATTTCCATTTCTGACAGAGACAGACAGAAATTTTATGTGTCTAAATTCAGCCTAAACTAACGGACTGAGATCCAAATCTAGTACAACTCCACTATACATCTGATCAAAAACTTCTCAAACTTAGTCTTGCATTTAATATGTGTTTAGAGTCAGCCTTTAGCACTGCCACTGATCCCTGGCTCGTCTCTTTGTTTTTTCCTCCGACTTACCTATTGAACTGGCATCTTCCATTGCCTCATACCGGCCAGAATCAGTAAATCTGGCCTCTAGCTCCCTTTCCAGATCCTCTTCAAAATCATGTTCCTCCTCCACTTCCTCATCTTCATCCTCATTCTCATCATCTTTCTTGTCTTCATCCTTCTCCTCCTCCTTCTCCTTGTCTTCCTCATCATCGTTACTGCTAGAATGTCTGAACATCTCCCAAAGCGTATCATATCCTATTGGTTTTAAGCAAGAGGCAGATGAAATTATCTGAAGCTTTGCAGATGACTCCCACTCCAGAGACAATTATGCTCCTTACCCTCAAATTCACTGGACAACCACTGAATTTTATAAATCATTTTTCTTGCAGAAAGATTATTCCCTTCATAAAACAGGGACAGGAAATGCAAAATGCTGTCACATCCATCCATGTATTCAATGATCAAGACATTTAGAGAGTCTAAGTGTCCATAGGAAGTTAGAATACCAGAGATGGATGAAAGATTGGAACACCAATCGAAGACTGCTAAAGTGCTGAGGGACCAATAAGAGGGAAGAAGGGCAAAGGCATCCTTTTTCTGTGATTGGCCTGTGAGTCTATGGAGAATGATCTGACACCCAGTCAACACCTGCCCTATCTGAAGCTCCTGCTTTGCCTTTATTAAAGTACCTAATGTGTTATGACCCTGCTTGTAGCCACTCATTCCTGGGGATATCTTAAAGCCTGGAATGGAGCTTTGACTTTGTATTTCCTTGGTTGTACCTTCGCCAGTGACTTCCCATCCTGACAAGAGGGGCAGTCAAGGAAAACACAGAAGGAAAGGAGAAGGCACAGTTGAAAAGGAAGAGGCTATCTGGTTAAAAGTATTATTTAATTTATTCCAACTTTAGGCCATTTGTGTCTGGATTCCTAGTTTGGAGAAGTGCCTTCTATTGAGTTACACAATTAAACAAATTTCTATTACATGAATTTACTGTTCCTAGCTATAAAGTAACATTCCCCCAAATCTTAACTTCTACACATCAAAACTGGCACCAGAAGTGAGGTTTTGTCAGCACATGCATATGGGGTGGAATGGACTATGCAGAAAATATTTGGTATAAAGGATATGGACATGGACGGCTTCAGCATCTGAACACAGAAGTCTCTTCACTTCCTTTTCCACATCTGCAGGTTCAGCGCACTGAATCTAAGTGAAGGGTGAAATACCAGTACTGTCATTTAACACTCTGTGTTTGGCAGGAATGCCCTTTTCCTACATACCAATGAATTCAAATGGTTAGTTCTCTTTAGATGCCCATCTAAGCAAATTTCTACTTTAAGTAGTGTTATTTATTTATTATTATCATTTTTTTCTTTTTGACCAGTAAGGGGATCATAACCCCTGGCTTGGTGTTGTCCGCACCACGCTCAGCCAGTGAGCACACCGGCCATCCCCATATAGAATCCGAACCCACGGCCTCGGCGCTATTAGCACCGCACTCTCCCAAGTGAGCCACGGGGCCGGCCCTAAGTAGTGTTATTTATGAAGGAGTCTTAAATCAGGGTCTAGGTTTTTGTAGAGTAAGCTTATCTTTTCCCAATTAAACAAATTGCTTGAGTTATTTAATCTTTGCAATCTGCAACTCTATGGTAAAGACCTCTCTTAGAGGTACAACCCTTAGGTCTCAGTTATTGCTTGCCCCGATTCATACTGGCAAAGAACTATAATTCTTTGTTAGTTATTTAGAAGTAATTTGGTTTACAGATACAAATTCCCAGATTTCCCTTCTCTACATCTTTATTATTAGAGATGTTCCTACAAAAACTGGATCTTAGCTACATGTTCTCCCTTGAATACAGTTTTACATAATTATCTCCACAGCAACCAATTCATCATGCTACAAATAGAAATTAGGAGGGGGAATAAGCAATTGCAAACAACTGTTGGTAAAAGTGAGCCCTGGTTTCGAAGGACGGGCCTTTGAAATAAATCTCAGAGAAAAAAGCAGATTGGAATACACAGGGTCACTGGCCAAATTGTATCTCTTCCTCTAGGACATTAAACAATGAACTCATTTTTCTGTGAATCAAATTGAGTGTATGTGTATGGGAGTAGGGGTTAGAGGTGAGAAGGAAGGCTTGAAAGTAAACTTTATGGTTTATTTAATTTGTTTGGAACTAATGAGTTATTAAATAAATCACACTAAGCATAATCAATGAAGTTATGATTGCTCTACTTCAGTAAATATGACTTCTTCAAATTGTTTAAAATCAATGATAAACGAAATAAAACACAATAAACAATGAAGTTATAATTGCTCTACTTCAGTAAAGCTTAAAGAGCTCTACAACTATTCTTAACTTAGTTTTACATTTAGTGGGCACTCAGTAAGTACTCTTGACAGACGGCATATAAAAGCCACGGCAACCATGTTAATGGATTGGAAGACTCAACATAGTAAGGATGTCAATTCTCCCCAATTGATCTATAAGTTTAATGAAGTTCCTATCAAAATTCCAGCAAGGTTTTCTGTAGACATAGACAAGCTTATTCTAAAATTTATATGGAAAGAAAGGTATGAGCTCTAGAATGGCTAAAACAATCTTTACAAAGAAAAATAACATGGGAGCAACCAGTCCTCTGATTTCAAGACCTTTCATACAGTTAACGTTGTGATATTGGTGAAGGGATCAACACATGGATCAGTTGAACAGAATAGAGAATCTAGAAATAGATCCACACAAACACGCCCAACTAATTTTTGGCAAAGGTGCAAAAGCAATACGTTGGAGGAAGGGTAGCCTTCTTAACAAATGGTGCTGGAGCAATCCTTAGGCAAAAAAATGAACCTTGAACTAAACCTCAAACCTTTTACAAAAATTAACTCAAAAATGGATTATAGGCTTAAATATAAAATATAAAATTTTTAGGGCCGGCCCGGTGGTGCACTGCTACAGTGCGCCACTTGGGAGCGCGGCGGCGC